TAAGCAGTGGACGATATTACTCGTTAATCGCTACTCATCTTCTATTTATTTAATGAATATTTAATGAATTAAAGAATTATACGATTTATATGTCTTAGAGAACCTAGCAAGTTTTCGAAAGACATGTGAAGTCTGCCAACCCGCACTTGGCCAGCGTGGTGGACTATGGCTTGACCCCCCCAGGAATTGAAGGGAGGCCCGTGCCCGTGGGACGTTAACAAAGGACTGAATACGATTTATATAGTTCAAATTAATTATAAATATTTCTCCATATTGCTAGCGTGATTTCTATTTAATAATCATAAAGCAGAATATATTGACGATTCCGGCACTCTATGGTGATGAGGGGCACATTTTGTAGTCTATAACCTGTTTGCAGGTTCAATAAACTATAAAATTATAATATTTTATTTTTTAGAATGAAATTTTAAACGTTTCCCAAACGACTACTAAGTATATAATCCTTATTATTATGATGATTTTATTAGCAATATTGTAACAACTTTAACACTTATATTGCAAATACTCTTTTTTCATATGAATCGATCAGAATGACGCATGATTCTATGAATAAATTTAATTTATGTAGCTTTATATGTAGGACTAGCGGCTCACCATCGCTTCGCTCGGGTTCGCCTCTAGGAAAACAAATACAAACCTATCCCACGGGAACCGTAGGTTTTCCGAGTTAACACCTGCAGGTAAATTTCTAAGAAATTAATTAAATTTCTAAGAAATCTATTGTTAACTGTAATGTCCGCGGTCGTGGAGGGAATAAAAAGTAGCCTATGTGTTATTCCAGACTAACCTATCTCTGTGCCAAACATCCAGATCCGTTCACCATTCTGGCGTAAAAGAGTAACAAACATCCATACTTACAAACTTTCACAATAATTATCAAGTAATTTTGAAGACGTAACGTATCGAGAGTCCGGCGGAATTGAGTAAATTGCTATAATATGGCCATTTTTGCATCTAATTGTAGTTTATTCAATTATTTTTTACTAGCTACTTACCCTCACTTCACTACGTCATCTTACTCCTATAAATGTGTTACTTCAGGTCATAGTCTATCAGTGTTGGGAATTTCATCCAAATCTGTTCAGCCGTTGCAGCGCCAAGGGGCAACAAACATATTATGTATACACAAACATACAAACTTTCGCAATTATAATACATAGTAGCTCGATTGTATAAACCAGACCAGTATGTAAATAAATAATCGACGTAATTACGGAGTATTTTGACATTTAAGTAATTTAATTTCGAAAAAACAGCAATAATATGAATATTTAAAGCTTAATTAAAGTTTCAGGGTCTTTCACTTTCTAGTATGAAATTACTCTTATTACAAGTTCAGTGGGTGCAAAGAATAAAAAAAAATATTTATTTATTTATTTTATTTAGAAAAGCATTTATATACATTAAGAAGACGATAATAATTACTTAATGAGATATGTATGTCTTTACAAGTGTACATAACGTTCGCTATAATTACGTAATCAAAAGTTTAAAATTATTATAAATGCCTAATATATAATTTTATTGACTACTATATTTCAAGCCTCTATATATTGTGAATTTTCTTTTGTATTTTATGGGGGCTTTGAAAATATATCATCTTAAAATCATGACATAAATAATTCTAAGATATATATATATATATATATATATATATATATATATATATATATATATATATATATATATATATATATATATGGTTTTCATAAAATAGGTAAATCTCGCGACAAGTTTTTATCTATACATATATCTACTAACATTGTGGCTAAGCCGAATCTGTACATTAAATGTTTTTTGTGAAAATCTTGATATTGAAATAGACATTACTATCGATACAGAGGCCGATGATGATAGCTGGTCATCTGGGTCAACATATAAGATACTTTTATACTGCAGAAAAATATCTCATCTCTGAAAAAAAATATTGTATAATGTAATATATGATGGGTTTGATTTAATTTAAAGTTTATTTTCCTCTTTTTAGAGCATTTAAAAAAAATAAAAGCTTCTTTAATAAATGGTAAACATTCCATTAGTTTATAAAAAAAAAAAAAACATTATGGAAATAGTTTTATTTTTATATAGATCGGTAAATTCTATTCGTATACACATGTTTTCCTCGCAATAATAATTGTTTATTGTCGAATTTCGATCATTACGCGAATACTATGTTATAATTTACTCAGCATTTTAATTAAATAAAATTGTAGGAAAAATACACACGTTTACGTCTTAGTTGAACTATTAATTTATCTGAACATATTGAGTAAGTAAACAACTTAAATCTGCAGTAAAGCATGATTCGATTATGTGCTCATTGCTCTGTAAATTCTGTTTAATGTTGTAGGTACAGCTGCGGTTTTTATCTACGAGTCATCACTCATCACTATATATGATAAACTAGCGGCTCAGCCTCACCCTCGCTTCGCTCGTCTTCACCTCTGGAAGAACAAAAACAAATGTATCCCACGGGAACCGTATATTTTTCTGGGATGAAAAGTAGCATATGTGATATTCCAGACTATAATTTATCTCTGTGCCAAATTTCATCCAGATCCGTTGAGCCGTTCTGGCGTGATTGAGTAACAAACATCCATCCAACCATTCAAATATCTAAACTTTCACATTTATAATTGTATTAGTAAGATTAAAGTCTCCGCTGCGTTGTGTTTATTTGTTTGGACTAATCTCAGAAACTAACTTCTGTACAGATTTTCATTCGGTTTTCATTACTAAAAAGAGGGAAAGTAAGGGAAAATAAGCTACAGATATTATCACTAATATTAAAGACTAGCGGCTCACCCTCGCTTCGCTCGGATTCGCCTCTAGAAAAGCACAAACTATGAAACCCATGGGAAGCGTTCATTTTTCCGGGTAAAGTAAAAAAGTAAAGTTATTTGATCGGTAATATAAGGTATCAGCATGCGAAATAAGTACTAAACTGTATAAGTTAGTATAGTTTTTGTATAGTCTGTGTAGTTACTATTGTTGTTGTGTACTAAACTGTATAAGTTACTATAGTTTTTTAATTATCCCACGGGAACTTTTTAATTTTCCGGGATAAAAAGTATATAAAATGTTGACCGGAGATATTAGGTACCACCATGCAAAATTTCATTTGAATCAGTCTTACAGTTTCGGAGATTAGCCCGTACAAATAGATGAACAGACAGAGAAACAAAAAAATTGAAAAAAATCTGGATTTGTTCTATTTCTCTTCTTACATCCCCCTGACTCGGTTTTTAGCATTTTATTTATACACAGACATTCGACAATTTTATTATATGTATAGATAGATGTAAGGGTATCTGGGGACGCCAGTATTAGCAAGTCAAAATGTATTTGTTGATGGTCCGTTTTCACGTAGCAACAAGACAACGGAGTCTATACTTTCTATTTAATCTATTGAATAAATCCATGCTATTGTTAGACCAGGGTAAACTCACATAGATCCAGGGTAATGTAAAATATACTAACGTTAGAATACGTTAGAATGTTATACTGTATGTCTGTATATAAAAAAAATAAGTTACTGCGATCGACGCTATGGTCACAGCGAATGGCTATTTAAATGATGGTCGCGGTCGCATAGTGGTCACGAAGTGCGCTATTAAATCGGTATTATAAATACAAAAGTAGTTTTGTCTGACATACTGACTTACACTTAAACAGATTCAAATTAAATTTTTTTAGGACATAGGTCCATAGGTCATTCATTATACATCATGGAGATTACACGCTAAGTTTTATCTACGTTTCAGATTATTTGTTAAAATTTAAGATATTAGTCATTAGTTAAATTAGAAATGCAATGCAATGCAAAGTGATGGCAAGCCACTAGTTTTATAGGTGTACTAGCGACTCACTCTAGCTCCGCTCGTGTTCGTCCCTAGATGTGTTTTAACGTTTAGTATAGATTTCTCAGAGGTGGAATACTTTCCCGCAGTAAAAAGTATGCTATATGTTGACCCGGATAACCAGCTATTATCATATCCAATTTCATCAAAATCTGACTAGTGGTTTTCTCGTGATGCGGTCACAGACAGACAGACAAAAAATTTTAACACTTTAGATTCGGCCTCTGTATAGATAATATTTAATAATGTCTATTTCAATAAGATTTTCCAAAAAATATTTAATGTACAGATTGGGCTTACTTACAATTTTATTATATGTATAGATAGATATATAATTTTATAGATTGATTAGACAAATGCTGATTTTATACGTTACCGCTCTTTAGCTGTCAAGTGCCATTGGCAATGAAACGCGGATATTGAATTTACGTAGAACAAATATTATTTTATGTTTTGTGTTATAATTGTGTACTCAGTCTATAATCATAGTAGTGAGTGTTGTCAAATCTATTTTTATTTGAATTCTGCGGATAATTATTAAATAAAACTATCTTTTCGGATATTATATTATAGGAGAGTCTCTCCCGTGACCATGGATGCTGTAAAGCATTCGAAACGTCGGGAACCAAAAATCAAAATAAATCTGCGAAATAATCCGAAAAGATAGTTTTATTTAATAATGTCAAACATTCGCGAAAATCTAAGAAAGTATTCTGTGGATAAGTTGTGTTAAATATTACGTTTGTTGCAATTTTCGTTGAAATAGATACTTGCATCAACCAAATTTTGAAATTATATAAAAATTCGTTCTAATATTTAGATTTGTCGCAATGATCAACTTTTAATTTGTTAATTTTTATCACGGATATATTACGGGCATCGGAAAAGGATACTTAATTATACGGATAGATTTAGTTGAAATATAGTATACAGATATTATAAATTGGAGTAACATATAGAACTACTGTAGGGACTACTGTACCTAGGGAGGGAGTAGGGACGTACACAAGCGAAGCGAGTCATAAATCGCTAATGAAATTCGGCCACTGGGCGAACAATAGTATGAATAATTATTATTGTGTGTATGTATTTATAAGATTTGTATTTTTTTATTTTCAGCCATCACCGGTAGCACGGACGGGATAGGCAAGCAATACGCCCTGGAACTAGCTCAGAGAGGCATTAATGTAGTACTCATCAGCCGCAACCCTGACAAGTTGAAGAATGTAGCTGAGGAGATCGGTAAATATCTCTCTTAACCGACTTCGAGAAAAAGGAGTTCTCAATTTAGTTGTTTTTTTTATACTATTATTTATTTATTTATCCGCATTTTCTAGTAATTTACGGTTGAACTAAAACTGTTGTATAATATTTTTTTTAATTAATCAATTAAAGAAATAAAATCATTAAGGTACAAAATACTTCATAATTAGTTATATATTTTTTTACTTCAACTCAATTTTTTGTTCAGTGGCCATTACAAGCGATAATATAATATTTTAAACTTTATTTTTTTTTATTATAATTGCATCACTATTTAGTTAGTAGTTTAGTAGATATCGCGCAAAAACACACAAAATAAAACACTATACGGGATGTATGTAATTTGTATCGAGTAAAGTACAGTCTAGATTTAATCATAATCGTTTTTCTGACAAATTGTTATTGTTGTTGGGTTTATTTTTGTTTTTTTTTTTTACTTTTACTTTTGCTGCTAGTTTATGGGTCAAAGTATAAATTTGCCGTTAATAAATATTAAAGCGTGCATGGTCATTCGATTGATTAAGACAGAATAAGCATTGACCCCGTCCGGTGTACGGCGGCGATGCAATATGTGACCTCCGGTAACGATAGCCATTTTGTAACAATGCTATAATATGTATGTAATACTTTTGCCTATTGCATACAATCTTACTTGAAACTCGGTTTCCTTGAAATCATAACCTATCACTTTGTAGGTTAAATTGCCATTTCAGTATGTAGGTACTAAGTGACAAAATATTTTGTTTATTTAAAAATTTATTAGCTTCATGTATACTAGCGAAGTAACGAATATTCGCATTCGCGAATGTTTCGGCTTTTTTTGGCTCGGCTATGTTTGGTTTATACATGGCCGACACGAAATGTCAAACCTGTCTGTTTAGCATTTTGCGTGCGCTTTGATTGAAAATCCACATTCATTCGTATTCGCGAATATTGGAGATGAATATTCGCATTCGCATTCGCGAATGTGAAAAATCGAACATTCATTGCATCACTAATGTATTCATATAATTGATCACACGTTTGGCTCAGTTTGTAGTGGCCTTGCTTGCTGTGCCAGCGGTCGTTGGTTCGAGTCCCGCTGGGGGCATTCATTTGTGTGATGAGCACGAATGTTTATATTCCAGTCATGGGTTTACATTTATAATATGTATATATTTAAAGTCATATATGTGTAGTGTATCAACTATCTGGTATCCATAACACAAGCCTCGTAGCTTATCATAGAACTAGATGGTGCTGTGTGTTAATGTTCCAACATAAAAAAGACGCTTGTACATCTGTACCTATATAATAAACTAGAGACTCACCCTCACTCCGCTCGGGATCGTCCCTACTTACGTTTTAATGTTTTGCACAGATTTCTCAGAGATGAGGTATTTTCCCGCAGTAAAAAGTATCCTATATGTTCACCCGGATAACCAGCTATCATCATACCAAATTTTATAAAAATCCCACCAGTGGTTTTTCCGTGAAAACAACAGACAGTATGTGTCTGTGTGGCAGACAGACAGACAAAGATTCTAAAAACTATAGATTCGGCCTCTGTATCTATAATAATGCCTATTTCAATAAGATTTAGCAAAATATACATATTCGGTTTAGTTACAATTTTACGGTTTTATGGTTTCTGCATGTCTGAGAGAGCCAATTTTATTTTTAATTATTAAATGACGTGTGAATTTCGCCAACCCGCACTTGGCCAGCGTGGTGGACTATGGCAGGAATGGGACGTTCAAAAGGGCTGAATACATGATTATTCCTTAAGTAACAATTATTATCATTATTTTTGAAGTAACAGTTTTATTATCATTTTTTTCAGAGAAACTGCACAGCGTCAAAACAAAGATAATTGTAGCTGATTTTAGTAAAGGAATAGAAGTGTACCAGCATATAGAAGAGCAGCTGAAAGATATCCCTCTAGGCATATTGGGTAAGATATATTAAATAATTATTTGCATCATAAACTAGAAAATATCAGTAGGTTACGACAGCTGTATTTTTATCTATAACCTTTATAAAATGCCATATGAAACTTTGGCTTTGGTTATACTATCCGTATATTTACAAACTTCTTATGTTTACTTTCAAGTTTTTAAAAAAAAATATTGTTTGTTATACTAAAAATAATATAAATTATTAATTATATAAAATAGGATTTATATGTATTATTGTAGATTCATTATTTTATTCTTTATGTTGTCATTCTGATATAAAATACTTATTTGCGTTTTCTGACGTTGCCATCTTGAGTGGAAAAAAGGGCGGGAGCAGCGTTGTACTTTGTTTCATGACTTTTAAATAATGCGTCATTCCTTTTTGTAATGTCGTTTGAGGAGTTAATCTGACTCTGTATAAAATAATTAAAACTGTGTGCTGTTCCACCAAATTTTACTTGGCCTACCTGACCTACTTCCGAGATAGACTCGTAATATGTTATAATCCATTTCGATTGGTAAAGAAAATGCGAATATTGTATTGCAGAAATATGATTTCATAAAAATAGTAACTGGTAAAAATATTATACAGGTGGACGGTATAGGCTTAGTCCTAATTTGACCGTTTGGATAAAGAATAATTACTTTTTCACTAAAAATTTACATTTACTTCAAAATCACTTAAAAATTAAATTTTAAAATAAAATATTAAATATTAAAGCAAATTTTAAAGTATAACCTATCCATTTAAGAAAAATTATTTAATTAATTTCAAATTAGCGGAAATATGTCCATGGTACGCAAAAGAAGATTTGTAAGTCGATTAAAACACGAAATACGTCGGTTACGTGAGTAAACGTGTAAATAGTAGCCAGTAAATATTTTAAAACATTATTACAATTTGAAGGGCTTATTATACCTACGCACATTTGTGAGATTCGTGAAGCGTGAGATTATAATATCTAATTACTATACCAATTATAGTAAGGCCACACTCATCGCGATAGTATTCCGACTATACTTCAAAAAAAAACTTCGCCTTCGGCCTACAGCGAATGTGCGTGGCCATATTGCATATCGATGCAATGTGACCACAACGGTAAAGTTTATCGCGATAAAGAATGCAAAACAAAATGAACGCCGCAGTCGCTCTTTATTTTATGGCAGCGAATAATTATTTTTTACATTTGTTTCAATTCAAAAATAAGAAAATAGGATAATAACAAATCGGGTTCCATAATATCGGCTCAGACTCGTAATTACTAAATGAAAAAATTGTCGTTACTCCAATCCATGTCGAAAATAAGTCGCTAACCCTAATAATCTTATACATGTCCGCTATGCACGATGTCTGTAGGCCGAATGTGATGATATATATATATATATATATATATATATATATATATATAATATAGAATGAACTATGAACTATGAAGTGTCAAGTGTGCTGTGTCACTGTGGCCGTGCAAGCGAAATTCATCGCGATAAAACGCTTTGACGTGTGAGAGTTTACCGATAGCGTAGCGATATGCTTGGGACTTCGCTTGCAGTGCATAAATTGCGATAATCCAAAAATTCGCATTATCGCTATGTTTGCGGCGTAGGCATTAGAAATGTGAGTTAATTATTTTAATAATATTTAATAATCATTTTATTGACCAAAAACACATACACAGTAAACAATATCATATACAAAAACAAACATATATTATGATACAGTACAATCATTAATATTAAGCAATAGGTATAACTTAATTCAAGCTGTTGTCAACACAAAAGATATGGTAACTTCTATTGCCATTCTAGGAGACCTGTATTACGGCGTACAACGTCTATCCCCCAATTATCTGTAATTATTAATTTTTAGCTATTTGAATCAAAGTTAGGTAATTTTAATATTTCAAAAGGTTAGTATTACGTAGTACGGTAGTAGTAATAGTATTGCGTATTGTATATGTGGATATAAATATTTATGTAAATGGAATAAAATAATTAATTAAAAAGACATAGAAGGTCTTCAGTTTCATCATATGATAATTTAAATAGGTAATTAACAACTTTTAATTTGCACATTTTACTATTATCAGAAAAATTGTTTTTTTTTTTATTAAATTGGTTTTATATAAATGGTCCTAAATAAGTGTATGTGTGGATAAACAGTCTTAAACTCCCTATCATTATTACAGACTGTATAATTTCTTCGTTTATTGGTTATGGATGGATCAAAATTTAGCTCAGAATGTTGCTTTAATATATAATAAAAAAACGTTGCCACGCCTTTATTAATAGCGCAAAATTCGTAAAGTGCATGAGTATAGTAATACCTTAAAGACCCAAGAGACTTTAATGTTGTTTTTGACGCACCGCCCCATGAAGAGAAGCAGTAACTGATAACAGATTGGTATAGTGACTGGTAAACTCTCTTTATAATGATTGGCTCCACAATATGCGTAAGGTTTTTAAATATGTATGATAATTTACGAACTTTATTGGTTAAAGTACCTGGGCGACCGAGCTTCGCTTGGAGTTTTTGGCCAAAAATATTCAATTTTCTTTTTTTTTAGTTTTTAAGCCAAAACAAAAAACTAAAAACTTGAATAAATACAAAAAAAAAACAAAAGTAAAAACTTTGTATCGGACTAGAATTTTGAGCCGGATACCTGTGGTTGTCAATCTTGCGCCTTTGCTTAACCACGATGCTTATGCACGAACGTGCGAAATTAGCGTCTATATCACGGTAATATTACATATACATTACCGTGACTATATTTTGCGTGCGAAAGAAAACCGCATGAAAAGTCGAAAACACGCATTTTCCCAAACAGAAGACTGATCTAGTACGATTTTTCGCCCCGGAAAAGCCCCACATACCAGCGAAATCGTTAGAGCCGTTTCCGAGATCGCCGGTATAAATAAATAAATAAATATACAAGAATTGCTCGTTTAAATATATTACACTAGTGACTCACCCTCGCTTCGCTCGGGGTCGTCCTTAGCTTGCTTTCCAATACAAACTTTCTTCCCCATTTTGACCCCTTTAAGGCATAATTTCCGGGATAAAAAGTATCCTATATCCTTCCCAGGGTCACAAACTGTCTTCTTACCAAATTTCATCTAAATCGGTTCAGTAGATCCAGAGGTTACCCCCCACAACGTCACAAACTCACAAAATCACGAACTTTCCCTCTTTATAATATTAGTATAGATTAGAAATATGTTGCTTGAAACTAATTTGGCAGTTTTGATTAGACTTTTTTATCGATATGAACGAAAGTAATTTGCATTTTAGCACAGAATATACGAAAACGACGTTCGTTCATAAAACGCTAGTTGTTGGCGCATTTAATAAACGTGGTATCCATTAGTCCTTTTAAGTTCACGTACATTATCATCGCATTTCTAAAGCTTTTAAACTTTATACAGGGTCATTTTTAATTTACTGTAAACCTTTTGGGAATATACTGTTTACATCATAATAACAACATCTGTAACAAAAAAAATATTTCTTAAATTTTACAAAAATAAAAGTATATTTTATTATTTTATTATATATTATTTTATTGCTCCTACTAAACGGTAATAGTCCAGTAATTAGCAAAAGAAAGCGCGTGACCGGTGGAGGAGGAGGGGTGTAGGAAGTGGCCCTTACTCATTTAAACTTGGCCAGATGCTAGAACTTTACCGTTTAGAAGATGCAATAAAAATATTTTTATTTTTGTATGAACATTGTTACACATGTTGTTTTTATGATGTAAATAGTATATTCCCAAAAGGTTTTCAGTAGATTAAAAATGACCCTGTATACATGCCCTAAGGATAGCTTAATAATAATAAAAAATAATTTGATATTTTACAGTGAACAATGTCGGTGTCCAATACGATTATCCGATGCCATTATGCGAACTACCTATTAGCAAGGCTTGGGAAATAATAAACGTGAATGTAGTCGCTGTTACTACTATGACGCGAATGGTTCTTCCTGGCATGGTGGAGAGAGGGAAGGGCACGATCGTCAACGTGTCCTCTGGCTCGGAGTTACAGCCTTTACCTCTTATGGCAGTTTACGCTGCCAGTAAGGTTGGTGTTTTTATTTACATGTAAAATACGAAACTTTATCTACCTTTTTTATTAGAAATAAACTTTGCTGCATAATCTAAAAAATAACTTTTTTATAAAATAACCTATTTTAAACATAAGTTTCTTAATGAGCATTTTTTTCACCACTTCGATGAAGTTTCAAAATCAAACAAGTTCAGCGGTAGTATCTATAATAATAGGTATATAATAAAAATATTCTTTTCAGGTATACGTCCGTAACTTCACCTTCGCTGTGCGTGAAGAGTATGCCTCAAAGGGCATCTATATCCAACATCTCTCACCTTTATTTATTTCTACGAAAATGAATGTATTCTCGCAGAAACTACTAGATGGCAACCTGTTAGTCCCAGATGCGACTACTTACGTCCGTAATGCTATAACAACCTTGGGTAGAGTCCAGAACAGTACCGGATACTGGTTGCATGGTATACAGGTGGGTCTCGTAGCATATATTTCAAAATTCCAAATTCTTTAAGGATTTCATTGGCGCAATTTTGTACACCTTCGCTGCGACCACGGCGAAATTTTGAAAAATATATACATTGAATATAATCTTTATATTTAAACATTGGTCTATGTGAATGACTGAATGGTTCAATACCATTCAGTCATTTTAATTTCTTTGAAAATTTAAATATAATTAGTTTGCAGTTCTTGCAGCTCTAATATATGAAGATATATGTTGAATATGAAATTTTGTACTTGTCAAATCCGCTTATATTTGTATTGAGATGCAAATACATAGTTAGTTATTTAATTTTATATACAACCAAAACATCCTCTAGACGCAAAAAGAAAATATTTTTATAACCCTATTTATACATATATATATATATATATATATATATATAGGCACAGGAAAAACAGTAGGTACACTACCTTTTTCTCCTCTGTCTTTCTCTTTTTGTCAACCGTTTTTCTTTTTTTGTTTAGTTAGTTATTGACAAGCTTTAGTATTATTAATAAAAAAATGATTATGGTCGACTTTCGACCACTGGCCAAATACTAGTTTTAGTAGATAGTAATATATATATATTTTATTTATTCCAGTATTTCTTCATCAAGTCGGCACCAGAATGGGTCCGGTCAAAAATCGGCGCGTATCTCAACCGTGGTTTCCGGGAAGAGCACATGCAAAAAGTCAAAAATAAGGCTCAATAATCTGACTTTACAATAGTACAAATTTACTTTTATATAAGATAATATGTAAATACTATGGTTGTTTAATAGAGGTGATAAAAAGTGTAATTTTCTAGGAATTAAGTTTGTTACCATATTATTTTTGGTATGTGATGAAGCTACGAGTAGGTACCTTGTAAAGTCCGTAAAGAAAAACCAGCCACCAGGTTCATCGTAACCAGAACACCAACTATAATAAGACACTCAAAACACAATCCCACACAAGCTTTGTGTTGGAATCCCTAGGAAAATTGTAGGGACTGTGCAAAACAAACTTAGCAACGTTTGGTTACCTATAAAGTAAGCAATTATTTATTATTCCGAGTGAACTGAAGCGATCAGATTGGTCATAATCACGTTAAATGGAGAAAAATACATCCACCCTTCAGTACTAGGTGATAAAGGATTGAAGAAGAAAAATATATATTGAACTTGAAATACAATTTGTCTTTTAGTGATAATTAAATATGACCGTGTGGTCTAGTCTAGCAAAGCCAGTTATATGAAATATTGGCAACTAAAACTATCATTGACGTATTTTAGTTTATTTTAATCCTAAACAGTAACTTATTGATCTGAATTAGTATTTATTAGCAATAAATATGCGACGCTTATGCCTGCGCTTGCGCAGCGTGTTCTTACTCTTGTCGCATACTAAAAACAAATCGTCCTTTTAAATACAATATGGCATCAGTGGTGGATTTAGGTTCGATGCCACTCTAGGCCCAAGTCGATATGGCACCCTTTTTCTTTCGTAAGGGTATATATGAAACCCTTGAAATGATACTATGTTTTTATTGTAAGAGCGCAAGAGAAAATAAACTTTAAAATTTCGTCTTACAGTTTACAGAAAACCCAATCAATTTTTAATTTTAGTTGTTTTAAAAATTTTGGCGCCTCTCAAAATTTGCCGCCCTGGGCCCGGGCCTCACGGGCCTAAGCCTAAATCCGCTACTGCATGGCAAAGTGAGCTTAGCAACATATTTAATATTTTTTTTGTACTGTTATAGTATTGTATAATGTATAAAAGAAATAAAAAAAAATTGTTTTAATGTACCCAATACCTATAAAAATTAAAAAAACCCCTGCTTTTAATCATGGTTTTCTAAAGTAGACGGGACTTAACATTCCAATTTTATTATAAAAATTGGGTTTAAGAACATAGCTTTTGTGTGAACCCATTTGCTGACATTTTTTTGTTATTATTATTACAAAACAAACTAATAAAAAATAAAAGATAATTTGTTCAAGTATACTAACATTTTTAATTAGGTTATTTATACATATAATAAAATTGTAACTAAGTCGAATTTGTATATTAAATATTGCTTGGAAAATCTAATTGAAATAGACATTCTTATCGATACAGAGTCCAAATCTATAGTTTTTAGAATTTTTGTCTGTTTGTCTGTTACCGCATCACGAGAAAACCACTCGATGGATTTTAATAACATTTGATATGATGATAGTTGGATATCCGGGTCAACATATAGGATACTTTTTACCGCGGGAAAATATCTCATTTCTGAGAAAAAATACAAAAACTGCATTGTAAGAGTATACTAATATGTAAAACCTAAGAATTTGGTTTTAAGTCATCTGAACGCGGGCGGAGCCGCGGGCAATGCAAGTTTATATATAATTGTGTCGCATTATAAGGATATTTAAGAAAATTAAAACGTACTCTACATTCTTATATTATTTTGAATTCTTTGTGATATTTAGGATACTTTTATTATTGTCTGATATTGTATGAAGGTGATATGGGAAAGAAATAAATGATATTAAAAATAACATACTATTATTTATTATTTTGTATTAATTTGAGCAATGAACATATATAATTTTTAGTTTTGCACGTTCTTGGTGGCTCCGTTTGCTGAGCTCGTCATTTCCACGCTTTCAGTTCACAAACTAATTTCAAACCAATTGCAAAACGCACTTAGTTCATATGTGAATGGCGGCTTTAGGAGATTTGTGCTAAAAAAATTATTTAATTGAATATATTATGTACTATAATATTTACATTATGGCGTGGTGCGGATTACATTAGTTGAATCTTTCTTATCACTGACGAATATTCCTATGATTTACAAACATGGCGAAATATTTCTGCTTCAACCTAAATATTATAAGCGTAAGGAACCTATACTATACATATATGTATGTCAAACTAATAAGTGCTTCGGTGGTGAAGTGGCTAGCATGTACAGCTGAACATCCGGAGGTCCTGAGTTCGAGTCCCGGGTCAGGCCAGCTTTAGATAGAAGTGTCTTTCTGTGTAGTCTAAGCCTCAGTAACAACCCGGAGTTGGGAAGTAGGAGGTGTTGCACCCTCGTGCCTCAGAAAGCACGTAAAGCCGTCGATCCTGCGCCTTAACTCTCACCGTTCGTGTCTCGTGTCATCCCACCGGAGTATGAGAGTGACAGGAATAAAAAGTGCACTTGTGTCAGTGCGCACACTTGTGCACTATTATATTCCTGCTCAATGGTCAATCAAACCAAAAATGGCTAGTCTCAATGAGAGTGACCACCGTGGCCGAAATCAGTCGGGAGGTATGTAGTAAGTTAAAAAAAATTATAATATGTAACATAACATCTTCGTGATCGGATACTATGAGATTCTACCATGAAACTCTTTATCGATAAAATTGATGGGATATTATTACTTCCCAATTCATATCGTACTGAAAAGTATCACCCTGACCATGCTATAATGAGAAAGAAGGTTTAATATTTAAAGAACGACATTAAGACATTTTCTGTCATAATATATATTTTGAAATACAATTAGATCCATTCACAAATAATTATTGAATTGTAACACTATTTTTTGTGGACGTGACTTAAGATCGAGGAATTAAAAGTTGTATTATTATTATGACGAAGAATAGCAAGAGTCAGCGCAGAGATGTTGAGATAGAACTACAGGATTTTCCTGAAGAGGTGACTTTGTTATTTTAGTTGATGTTATTTATTAAAAAATTAAATGTAAATATCTGCAAATGCTTTCCATTCCACTAATCATTCAATTCAATTCTCTTGTTAATGTCTTCAAAGCGTGCTAGTTGAGCACAGATTACTTCGCCAATGTCACAGAATGGAGAAGACACGAAGGAGATTGTTTCCATTAACAATATTACATACACAAATATGTACCTATATACTTTAGATAAATGGGCTGAATAAGTACAGTGAATCGCAGTGTATAGAAATATATAACATATGATTTTTTAAGATCAATCTATTTTACTTGCCGGCTGTTCACGAGTCCGGTAGTACTAATTTAATCTGCCTCAAAAAACTTCTAAAATTCTATTTAAATTAGTATAGTTTGCTTAAATTGATAAAACTATTTACAGGAAGAACATCGATCAAGATGGTCTTGTACATACATCAACCACATCTTGCTTTCCCTCCCTGACGATAGCCTATGGAATTCTATGATGTGTGTTTTAGTGTTTTCTGCTACTATTCATAGTTTCGTTGATTGCAACGATAACTTATATTCGTATTGTTTCGATTTAATCTATAATATTATATATGCAGCTCATGTCCTAATCTTAGCATACAGCTATTCAGTTAATACTGAAGATCTTGCCGTAGACGTTTCTACTATTTGTAAGTATGTTTTAAATTAAACAATCTAATTACAGTACATATACTGTATGTATAATGTACTTCCGAACAATCTGTCATAGATTTTTTTTTATATTTTTTTTTCTTTTTAATTTTTCTGCTCAGCTAAATGACAATATTTCTCACCCCCATAGGTTGATTGGAAGAGATTTCTGTTAGAAATAACTTTTCCTTTGATTTCTGCTAATGAAGTAACAATGTATTTTTATGTGCAATAAAGAATATACAGTACATTATGGTTGTATATTATGTATAATATATAACGTATGTCAAACTTATGTCAAATTTCTATCTCTAATAAGTAAAACCACGGATAGTTTATTGAGATATACCGTAAGACGGTACATTACAGTCGCACTGCTCGTTTGTTAAATTAATTAACCTCATAATATTACTCTTATTAAGATAAATGCGTATAATGTTAATTATTGTATGTATTTAAAGTTGAATGAAGGAGTTTGATGTGAATAAACAGTTTGTTTTAAAGTGAACCAGAAATTGGATTTTTGATAGTAAAAATATTAAATAAGGTGGGTAGCTGGAAGTTTGTTTAAGGCACAAGACTTAGACAGTATGGACCAAGAAGTACTCTGTGAAGACTAAGAAAGCAAGTTACAATTTTATACTGCAACGTAACGAACGGCTTGGCCTTGTGCCTATCTCCTAAGATTACGAACGCGACGAAGCCGAGTTCGATCCCAGCCTACGGTAAAAAGATTTTTTCCAATTTAATGTTTTTAAGAATATAGGACAAAATATTAAAATCATGTCTTCAACAGTTATCAAGTGCCCTACTTGCGCAAATAAAGTATTAAAAAAGTCATCTCTTGCATGCGTCGAGTGCAAAAATTATTTCCACCTTCAATGTGCTGGTCATAATGAGAGTCAATTATCCTCTCTGACAACTCAATTCAAATCAACTTGGAGATGTCCTATTTGTGTCAATCAACGTAAAAAAGGTGGTAATAGTGCAAATGTACTTGTTCGAGGCCTATCGCAAACTTCGCCCAGCAGTTGCACGGAAACAAATACAGTAAATGCTAGTCCGCAAGCTACATGTTCGAAGTGTTTGAATACAACAAAATTGGATGAAATAACTTTAGCATCGATCAAAAACGAAATAAATAAATCTGTCACTGAGGCAATTCACGCTGTTCATAACGTTCTTGAAGCTAAATTTACTGATCTAATAAATAAAGTAAGTGATTTGACTTCAACTGTTGAGTTTTTTTCAAATAAGTACGACGAACTGAAGAGCCGGCTGGATTCACGGGATAAGGAAGTCGTTGAACTGTTGACACAAAATAGAGTTCTTGAAGAAACTGTAAAGGATCTTGGATTTCGATTGTCTAGCTTAGAACAGCACTCACGCGAGTGTAATGTCGAAATAAATGGCTTGCCTGAGTTTAAATCGGAAAATTTGGTCCAAACTGTTTTACAGATTGGTAAAACTGTTTCTCACACCATCAATGATACAGATGTTATGTCTTGTTTTCGAGTTGCCAAGAAAGACAATAATAATAAGCGCCCCCGAGCGGCTATCGTTAAATTCCGAAGTCCTAGAAATCGCGATGCTTTTTTAACGGCATATTATAAGTACAATAGAGAAAATCGATTGGACAAACTCTCAACCCAGGCAATTGGAATTGGTGGCGATAGAGCACCCATCTATTTGTCGGAACATCTGTCACCTCCAAATAAAATGCTACATGCCGCAACCAGAAAAAAAGCTAAGGAAATTTCATATAATTTTGTATGGGTCCGCAACGGTAAGATCTATGTTAGAAAGGATGAGAAATCATCAGCTAAAGTGATTAATAACATGACCGATTTAGATAAACTTAAGTAAATACTATATATGGTCGTTTTATAGTGGTTGTATTACGTTAAATTCAATCTGTATTATCAGAATATTCGTGGAATGAGAACTAAGACTGCCGATATTTATATGAACATACTGCAGAATGATTATTGTGTAATTGCACTCACAGAAACTTGGCTAAAATCTGATATAAGAACTTCTGAGTTTATAGATTCCAGATATATAGTTCATCGACGTGATCGCGATTGTATTCACAAACTTGACGGTGGAGGCATCCTGTTAGCTGTAAATAAGAATTTTACATCTTTCCGTATGCAAAGTTGGGAAAGCGAATTTGAAGACTTATGGATCATTGTAGAATTAAATATAAATAGGAAAATCAAACGTATAGGAATTTGCGTAGTATATATGCCTCCTCCTGTAAAAATGAATGATCTTACTGAAACTTTGGATAATATTAATACTATTGTGCCAAGTGTCGATGAAGTATTGATAGTGGGTGATTTCAATCTCAGCTTTATTACCTGGGAAAATAAAGAAGACGCCTCATATGCATATCCTGGAAATTATAACTGCAACTTAGGTTATGCTTTAACTGATTTCTTATCTTTTAATGAGTTGTATCAATTTAACACAGTGAAAGGAGTTGATGGTAAGATTAGAGATTTAGTTTTAAGTACTATACATAATATTTCAGTAACTGAACCTCTTGAGTTTATAAGTAAACTTGACAAATTACATCCCCCTTTAGAAATAAGCATTAATATGAATTTACATTTAAAAACTGAGAGTGAGCAAAATAAACCTCGCTCGGACTACAACTTTTTTAAAGCAGATTACTCAAAAATTATTGCTTCAATGGAAGCCACTGACTGGTGTAAGTTATTGGGTAACATGAAAGAGGTAGATGAAATGATATGTATATTTTACGACAAATTGTCTGGTATATTTGATTCCTATGTACCCAAGTATCAATGTAGGCCTTCTTCCCTCCCCGCATGGTTTAAGCGTCGCACTCGCAAGCTCTTAGATGAAAAAAATAAAATTCGTGCAAGATATCGTACCTATAAAAACCCCCGTGATAAATATGAGTTTGAAATACTTCGTACGTGATGTAGAGTTGAACTTAATGATTGTTATCGCGAGCACTGTGTTCTTACTGAGGAGAACATTCAGCGTAATTCTAGGGCTTTCTGGAGGTTTCTTAAAGAAAAGAAACAGAATACTTCTATACCTAGTCTAGTCTATCGTAATAGCGAATCAGCATCAAGTAACATTGATATTGCAAATTTATTTGCTGAACAATTTGAGTCTACGTTTAATACTTCAAACGATAGTATAGTTCGTGTATGTACAACTCCTTCACCGCTTTGTGACACTCTATCCAGGATAAATTTTGATGAAAAAATTATATTAAATAAATTAAAAAAACTGGATATATATAAAGCTTGTGGTCCAGATGGAATTCCAGGTGTATTTATAAAAAGGTGTGCGAAGGTTCTTGCTCTACCATTGAAATTGATTTTTAATCGATCTCTCGAAACGGGAACTTTTCCAACCGAATGGAAAAAAGCGAGGGTGGTTCCAGTTTACAAGAAGGAAGATGTTGCAAATGTTGCTAATTACAGACCAATATCAATGTTGTCAATTTTTGGGAAAGTATTTGAATCTTTAGTCTGTCCCATTTTGGTAGAACACACAAAGAATCTAGTTTCAGATAGACAACATGGTTTTCAAAGTAAAAAATCTGTAATCAGCAACATGTTAAATTACGTTACCAGCTTGAATAGTTCTCTTGATGAGGGGATTGAGGTCCATTCTGTGTATACGGACTTTAGTAATGCATTCGACAGGGTAAATCATAAAATTCTTCTCGTTAAATTACAATATTTTTATGGCATAAATGGGCATATCTTATCATGGTTTAGTTCTTATTTAAAGGGGAGAGTTCAATATGTAGTGGTCAAGGGATATGAGTCACGTTGGTACAAAGCAGTATCGGGTGTGCCTCAAGGCTCTCACTTGGGACCGATTTTATTTATTTTATTTATTAATGATATCGTAGAATGTGTTATAAATAGCAACTGTCTCTTATTCGCGGACGATATGAAAATTTTCATGCCTATTAAAAGTTCTGTTGATATAGTTATGCTCCAAGAAGACCTAGATCGTGTGCAAGAATGGTGTACTCGTAACGGTATGATAATAAATGCTTCCAAATGTTGCTTTATAAAAATCACAAAAAGAAAAAAAAAAATTGATGCTTCGTACCACATTAACGGAGTGTGTATTAGAGAAACCCCATTTGTCAGAGACCTGGGAGTTATTATTGACAACAAGTTGAGTTTTACGAGACATTATGATCATATGATAGAGAAAGCATTAAAATCTTTTGGTTTTTTGAGGCGAACATGTAAAGACTTGCGTTCTCCAAAGACTAGGATAGTTATCTTTAATGCCTTAGTAAGAAGCATATTGGAATATGCAAGCGTCATTTGGAATCCCTACCAAGCATATCATTCCGAAAGAATCGAACGAATACAGCGTTCCTTTACCAAGTATCTTGTGTATAATAGCGATATAAGTAAGAGAAGCGATTATCAGGATAGGTTGACGACTTTTAAAATTGACACTTTATTTAATAGGAGACGTATAATTGATATTTGCACATTATTTAAGATACTAAATGGAATGTTGGATTGTCCACTAATATTAGAGAATATTTATTTCAGGATTCCGCGACCTGGGTCGCGCGCAATAAACATAGGTCCGTTCGATATGCCAGTTTCTAGGACGGTATCTTGCTCGAACTCTCCTCTTCCTCGAATGCTTAAAGCATATAATGAACTGAGTACTCTGTCTTTCGGGTGTGACGTTGATCTATTTCATAACAATTTGCTTAAACTAAAGAATACCTTGGTCGAAAAAATCCGCGGAGAATTGTAAATCATTCTAAGTTAAGCGGCATTATTTTATTGTATGTAGTTAATTATCTGTCCCTACCACTATTATTTTTAGCAAAGTTCTTAAGACATTTTGTGTTTACATTTTAGGAGTAAGTAATTTAAATATTTTTTACATATATCAAAGTTTTTATTTTTTTTATATACATAAAATTAGTTAAGATAACTTAAACCCTATTTATAAATTTTAATGTTTTTCAAGTTTTTGCCCTTATTTTGTAGTCACTTTATCTTCTTTTTATATTAGCAGTGCATGTATGTAATTTGTTGGTCAGTGCTATGGACACCTGTAAGAGACTAACATACTAGAACTTATGTATTAGGAATGAATTTAAAATGTATTTGTGTGTTATGTTGTTGGTGTTCTTAATAAATTAAAAAAAAAAAAAAAAAAAGACTACACTGAATAGATATAGTTTAGATAGAACATGCGATGATTTGGATGAAGTATCTTGGAAATACACAACATTAATCATATTAGCCTTCCATTTTTGCTTTTAAAAGACACTGGCATAAATCTTTTAGTGCTGCGTAAGCACATACACACACAATTACAAACACACACACACACACACACACGCATACACACAAACACAAACGCACACAAGCACGGACGCACGCATAAATCATTATTTATATAGTTTCGTGGTATATAATACGTTTTATTTGTTTCAGTGGGTTTTGTGCTCGACATTATAAGTTATATGTTTTATTTAGTTCGTGATAAATATGACTTCCAAGGTCTTTGCTATTACCTGCGGTTGCATCGACCGCTGCGGTATTTATGTTAGTATATATTGAGTTTCATAATTTATTTATTTTTATTGCATAGGTTATGCCTTCAGGTTCCCTCCCAATGTGCGCTCATGTTGCTGTGGTAGGGGAGGTCCACCTCGGTGGGCGGTGTGTCATGCGGGTTGCTCCTGGTACTTCTCTGATAGCAGTGTAGACTGTTGGAGCAACCAACCAACCATGGTTGTTCTGGTCTGCTTCGGCGTACCTACCGTCGGGGCGTCGTGGTTGAGTGCGTAAGCGATCCTGTGACACCTCATTAAGACAAGGAAGGTTCCGTTAGGTTGTGGGTAGTACTCCCCCCCAATGTGCGTTCACCTAGTCGTGGTGGGGGGGCTCAGTAGTGCCCGGCAATCCAACCGGGCGCGAAGCTAAGAAACGCACAGGGAGGTTGCCCACTTCGGTGGGCGGTGAGAGGTGGCCCTCTTTGGGGGGCGGTGTACCATGCGGGTTGCTCCTGGTACTTCTCTGATAGCAGAGTGGACTGTGGAGCAACCCCATGGTTGTGATGGTCTGCTTCGGCAGACCTGCCGTCGGGGCGTCGTAGTTGAATGCGCAAGCGATCCTGCGACGCCCCATTAAGACGGGGGAAGGTTTTGTTGGGTTTTAGTGGGTAGTACTGGCTGTATTACGCCGGTGAGTCCCACACGTCGTGCGTAAATGCATTTCCCAACGTTAAAAAAAAAAAAAGGTTGTGGGTAGTACTGACTTTTCTAGCCGGTGAGTCCCACATAACTTGTATGTGCAGTTGGTATGCCTAAATGCATTTCCCAACGTTAATAAAATGCAACGTTAATAAATGGATTGGACCTACATAAATGAAAAAAAATCTATATTATATTTAAGTCAATAATATAATATAGTTAATTAAGTAAGTGACATTGAAGTCGCTGTACCGTTTTTTGTAAAAAGTAGGTAATTATTTTAAAGTGTTCAAAGCCAAGACAATATATATTTTCTGGGAATTGTGCATTTGTACGTAGTACATATATTTTAGACTGGGTAAGTATGACTCACGTTCATGGTAGTCACCATCAAGCGTTATGCAATAAAGTTCTATTGGGAAATGCGTAATAAGTACTTATAATGTCTAACTAAACTTCTAACCGAATTCGATTACGGCGCCTATCTCACTGAGGTTATTCAACTGAATGGGAGATGTGAGAAATGTACTACACTTGTGTAGGTACAACATGCACTCTCTATTCTCTCAACTTACATATTTCGGTAAGGATAGGTTTCAAAAGATATGCCTATGTCTATATGATCGGTTTTTTCTATGTGAGAAATGCTGAGTGTTAATTGAATTTCTTTTTAAGGGTCATTAAATGAGAAGAAAATGCGAAGCAGCGTGCTAGGAACGACATTGAAGTACTGTTATATCTTCATGGTTTTGCGTCTTACTTGGGCCATGATATGGATTATAATCAATGAGTTATCTAAGGTTTGCAAAAAAGTACTGAAAAAATATATAATGGATCCCTTAATGTAATTAAGAATTTCGTTTAATTACGGGTTATTATTATAAATACAAAAACAATATAAAAAGCTAACCTTGAACGATTTTTTGTACTGAGTATAAAAAAAATCTTGGATGGTTAAAAGTACTCCCATATTACTACATCGATGTTCAAATAGTAATATCAGGAATCGGGATCTCTATATTACCAAAATCTTTTATTAAAGATGTGTTTATGTCCTGGTGCTTTAGTAATAGAGTAATTAAACTTAAAAAAATACATTTTTTAAGTTTTATTTTTATTATAAATAATAATATGTTTTAGTCCAAAATCACAAATGGTTTATACAAATATACAAATCCTATAGGTACTTTAAATTACAAATCACTAACATCGCTCAAAAAGAAACGGGGACTGATCCGTGTGCTGTATGCCTGCGGAACTGAACAAAGTGAAGCACTTAGGGAAACGGAGTTGCGGTGGATTACGAACTAGATGGCGGGATAAAATAGATAAATTCCATCTAAATTGGTCCAGCAGCGGGATGTTAAGGCTAATAGTAACAGTAAATGTAATTTAGAGCAAAAAAATACATACATATTTTGCTTACAGGTCGATGCTGGCTATCCGAAGGCCAGAAAACGCGCGAACACTACCATACGTAGATTTCTAAATGATGTTTACTTTATCAATAAAATGTTTCTACCTATCGGGTAATTTTGTGACACATTTTTATATAACACATAAAAAATTGTAAAGACGAATTTTTTAGATCCTTTGAAGTTTGCGTCACATCAGAGTAGATGTATCATTTGTTTTTTCTTATCTCACGAATTTACCGTGAATTTAAACACTTTATATAGTGATTTTTATTCACATATCTATGGAGAGGTTGTGTGAAACTCGCATGCTACTGAAATGGCTAAAGTTTTATAGAATCAATAAGTTTCCTAATATCCCATTTACTTCTATTTTACAACAGTAACTTACAACTGTGTCTTTTGAGCATTTGTTCATATCATTTTTATCAGAACGAGATAAATCTGCATGACTTGACATGAGTTGATGAACTTGGCCGTTTGAATCAAAACAGTCCACCTACACGTTTTTATACAGAAAATGTTAAACAAATCATTAGTCTCGTGAGTTTCTTTCACCAGTTCTGCTCGAAATTTTAGCCATTTTGCCAGATTGTGTCAATATCCACTTAATATATATATTTAGAAATACGTCTGTAATAGGAAATATTTTTCGGTTAAATTAATAGATTTTTTAATGCTTAGTCCATCTGTCGCACCAATAAATAACATTGAGCGTATCGCCTGCCTCATGGTGATGCTGACGGGTTGTCTGGTTGTGACCGGGGCTGCGGTTGCTTCTCTCTCTCTCATCATCAGTATCTACATGCGTCCGGAAGAAAATTTCCAAACAAGATATAGGCTAATTATGAAACAAATGGTAAATTTGTTTTTAATCTATACATATAATAAAATTGTAACTAAGTCGAATCTGTACATTAAATATTTTTTGGAAAATCTAATTGAAATAGATATTATTATCGATACAGAGTCCGAATCTATTGTTTTTAGAATTTTTGTCTGTCTGTCTGTTACCGCATCAAGAGAAAACCACTGGACAGATTTTGATGAAATTTGGTGTGATGATAGCTGCTGGTTATCCGGATAAACATATAGGATACTTTTTACCGCGGGAAAATATCTCATTTCTGAGAAAAAATACAAAAACTGCATTGTAAGAGTATACTAATATGTGAAACCCAAGAATTTGGTTCTTGGTCATCTAAACGCGGGCGGAGCCGCGGGCAATGCTAGTCCAAATATAAATATTTGTTAGGTAAATAAAAACATAAGTTTTGTGGTCTTTATTTGAATGATACATCGTAAATAAACAAGACTTTGAGTAAAATTGGGATTTATTATTATTATTCAAGGAAACGTACAACATACCACCAAGTCTTCGTGACAAAGTGGAAACATTTTACAAGATGTACTGGCACAAGCAACGAGCGGTATCTGCAACGGAATTACTATCAATTTTCCCACCTTCATTGACCGCTACCATATACACTGATATATACTTTAAAGCTACTCAAAAGGTTAATTGAAAATGGGCTTATGATAATTCAATGACTTTTTCTTATTTCATTCATACTAATATTATAAATGCAGAAAATAATTCTGTCTGTCTGTTATGTTTTCATGCCTAAACCGCTACTTATCTATACATATAATAAAATTGTAGCTAAGCCGAATCTGTACATTAAATATTTTTTGGAAAATCCTATTGAAATAAACATTATTATCGATACAGAGGGTGAATCTATAGTTTTTAGAATTTTGGTCTGTCTGTCTGTCTATCCATCCGTCTGTCTGTTACCGCATCACAGAAAAACCACCGGAGGGATTTTGATGAAATTTGGTATGGTGATAGCTGGTTATCCGAATCAGCATATAGGATACTTACTCAAGAAAATATATAATTACTCAAGAAAATATCTAATTTCTGAGAAAAAATATAAAAACTGCATTGTAAGAGTATACTAATATGTAAACCTAAGAATTTGGTTTTTTGTCAACTGCCGCTTGAGCCGCGGGCAATGCTAGTTACTAAATATAACAGGCTACTTTTTGTCGCAAAAATAATACTTGAATGGGGTTAAATAGGGATTGAAAGTTTTACTTTTACTACTACTACATTTATATTTTCAAGTGCCGGATTCTACGAGACTTGGAATACCAATTTTTATCTGAAGTTGCCAAAAATATGGAGACAATTCATTATATACCAGGAGATGCCATAATAAAGCGAAATCACAGAAAGTCATCTATAATATACATTACTTATGGCGACGTAGAAGTTCGTAAATCTTCATTTTATAAAATTTTACTATTAGGTATATTATTAAATCAATAAATTTTAGAGAGGCAGAGAGGATAACGTGTTTTCCTTGTTGTAATCTAGATTACGTTGTCGTGGATTCATATTTATTCTACAGATTGCGACTTGCCTACGTTAGTACTTATGTCTTTTTAGGCCACTGAATCAAACCCCTTATGAGGCTTTGTATAGTATAACGTATGTTCAAGGAATATTTTTGGGTAAACTCGAAAGAAACTCAGATAATCTATAGGTACATATAATAAAATGGTAACTAAGCTGTACATTAGATATTTTTTGGATAATCTTATTAAAATATACATTATTATCGATAAAGAGGCCGAATCCATAGTTTTTAGAATTTATGTCTGTCTGTCTGTCTGTCTGTCTGTCTTTCTGTCTTTCTGTCTGTCTGTTACCGCATCACAGAAAAACCACTGGAGGGATTTTGATGAAATTTGGTGTGGTGTTATATGTTAATGTAATAGCTGGTTATCTGGGTCAACATATAGGATACTTTTTACCGCGGGAAAATATCTAATTTCTGAGAAAAAATACAAAAACTGTAATTTAAGAGTACATACACATGTAAAACCTAAGAATTTGCTTTTTTGTTATCTGAACGCGGGCGGAGCTGCGGTCAATGCTAGTATGTTATAATCCGTTTAATGAAAAAAAATCTAGTCAGTAGGTACCATGGAAATACAAATTGCACTAATAGTCTATTATATTTTAGATGCTTACAGCAGAAGATGACAGTACAGCAACGCTCAGGTTTATTCGCGGTACAATCCTGTCGCCTTGTGCTGGATGTCCAGCAGCTGGCTGTGGTAGAGCTCATGTGGAGATCAGGGCAGCTACCTTCTGCACTGCTCATATACTGAGTGTATTGGATTTATGGAAGACAGTGGTAAAATATGGCAAAGAGAATAGTCAGGGCACGATAATTCTCAAGACATTTAATGTATGTAATTTTTTTATATAAATCCTCGATTTTTTTAATATTATTTTTGATCTATAATTTTGGAAGATATAATACATCATTTTAATTTTTGATTTAAATATACATAACATCATCAAGTCATCGTAACAATTGTAGATAATCCAAAACTCAAATTAAGATTGTTATTATTTTCAGGAGCATTTTGATAAAGTAAAAAGACATTTTAACTTGCGTTTCCCTGTAGAAGCTAAGTAAGTTGTTCGCAGTTGATAATAATAAAAATTTGGCTTATTCGCTCTATTCGTAAAAATATAATATTTCTTCAAAAAAATCACAAACTCGATGAAGATATTGAAAAAGTATGAATTTTCAGGTACAAAAGCAGTATTCTAAATTTTAAACGCAATTTGATGCTTCTTAAAGAATCAAAAGATGATGAGGGAAATCTACTTCTCGCTCAAACGGATGTTATGATTGATATTGCCGGATGTTATATAATGAGAAATGTTAGTAAGATTTATATTTATTTAGAACTACTAAACAGCCCGCAGCTCCGATTGCGTTCATCAGATTTTTATCTCTTATCCTCTGATAGGCTCTTCATCTTGCGTTTCCCTCAACGACGTTATTTGACAAATCTTCTTATTAAACCTACCTCATACCTGTAAAATTTTGTTATCTGTACAAAGTTTGTGTAGTTTTAACGACTAAGACGTGTAGTGCTCAACACTAATGTGTAGTTCATGGCTTTAAGCAATTTGGCTTTTTCGGACAAATAGACACAGTTATAAAAAATGATTATTGGAAAATCCAAAGCCCACAAATTAAGTTTAACTATTTTCAGCCTATTGATATAAAATTTAATTATTATAATAAGCTCTTCAAAATAATATTAGACAGAAAAATGTTTTAGTATTGGGTAAAGATTTGTGTACATAAAAATTGGTTTAATTGTTCGAAGCTCAATGGTGTATGATCTTTGCCTAAATATTTTTTAAAGTAATAAGCAATATTACACTAACTAAACTATTGCTAAAAAATAATTTATAAACACGCGATAAATTTTACCCGAATTTTTGATTTTTTTTTATGAAACTATCTTTTCGGATGTTATTGCTGTTTCATTTTTTTATTTTTGCACTCGACGTTTAATTGACGTTTAATTATATTTAATGTTTTACTGTAACATGATCACGGGAGATACTCTAACAAAGTTTCTAAACTATAGTTTTTCTATCGAGATATTATATAATATAAAGTAATAAGTTATAGATTAAAAAACTAAAGAATGATTTATAGTATAAACCCACAAAAAGTACGTATTTACATATTATATGTATTTTAGAATTTTTAATTGGATTTTACATTTAATATTTTTCGATTTTATGATTTTTTGGCAAACAAGCCAACAGGTCTCAATTTTATAAAGACACTTGTGGCTCACCCTCGCTTTGCTCGGGTTCGCCTCTAGGAAAACAAAAACAAAGCTACCCCACGGGAACCGTACATTTTTCCCGGATAAAAAGTAGCTTATGTGTTATTTCAGACTATAATCTATCTCTGTGCCAAATTTCATCCAGATCCGTTCAGCCGTTCTGGCGTGATAGGGTAACAAATATCCATACATACTCACAAACTTTCAAATTTATAATATTTATAAAGAATATTTATACATATATACAGATGTCATGGTAACCCTATGCGATAATCAAATCCACGACTATCCACTCAGTCAAGAAATTGAAATGTTGCCAACTGCGTGAGTTGATTGAATATTCAGTCAATCATATAATAAATATTCCATATCGAATGATTGATAATATCCTGAAATATTCAGAACATTAATATGTACTCGAAATGATATTTTCTTATTAGGTATAAATAGCTTTTGGGATTAATTTGGTATATTTCATTCATTTACCTACACATTTTTTTTAACTGAGGATGGGAAGGAAATGAGGATTTTATTTTCGACCTGTATGTGTGTATGTTTGTGTGTTCAATCCCACCTTCCCTCGTAATTACTAAAGGGCTGAACCGATTTTGATGATTTATACATACATACAAACATACATACGTATAATACATGGATCACAAAAATATGTGCAACTTATATTTAATCCCTCCACGACCGCGGACACGCCGGTGTTACAGTTAACAATAGATTTCTTATTTTTATAAATTTCTTAGAAATTTACCTGGCTGTGTTAAAAGTTATTATGGATAAATTGTTAAATAAAACTCCAAATGTTTACATCAATTCTAAAAAATACAAAGTTGTAAATAAATAAAAAAAAAGAAAAGTCGAATGCGTAAAAATGAACTAAAAAGATTAGAACATGTTGATGAACGATCAAGAAACATAGTGTAATGCAATTTGTTATATTCTGTAACAATTACACTCTGAATATAGATAGGTGGATATAACTTAAATACAATGTAACAGATTTTAGTTTAAAAAAGTTTCTATATACATATTAATTTGTTTTGATTTTATTGTAGAGAGCGGATGCATCTCTCACGGACGAAGCGGATGCTATTTGTTTACGACCAACGTTCCCTTGTATTTTGCAACCTAAATCATCACTTCAAGTCGCTTGGAACTTATTTGTTACCAGCCTTATTTTAACTGTATGCATTGTAAGTGTTATTTACAATTTTATCGCTGTCTAGACCCTATTTTTCTTGATTTACGATAACTTAAATAAATAAATATGTTGGGGCACAGCACCATCTCCCCCCCAACGTGCGTTCACCTTGTCGTGGTGGGGGGGCTCAGTAGTGCCCGGCAATCCAACCGGGCGCGAAGCTAAGAAACGCACAGGGAGGTTGCCCACTTCGGTGGGCGGTGGGAGGTGGCCCTCTTCGGGAGGCGGTGCACCATGCGGGTTGCTCCTGGTACTTCTCTGATAGCAGAGTGGACTGTGGAGCAACCCCATGGTTGTGGTGGTCTGCTTCGGCAGACCTGCCGTCGGGGCGTCGTAGTTGAATGCGTAAGCGATCCTGCGACGCCCCATTAAGACGGGGGAAGCTTTTGTTGGGTTTTAGTGGGTAGTACTGGCTGTATTACACCGGTGAGTCCCACACGTCGTGCGTAAATGCATTTCCCAACGTTAAAAAAAAAAAAAAAACAGCACCATCTAGTTCCATGGTAAGCTTCGAGGCTTGTGTTGTAAGTTTACATACAAACATATTATAAATATATATAAATGATATATTTATAATATAATATAAGTACCCATAACATAAGTACAAACATTCGTGCTCATCACACAAATGAATGCCCGCAGCGGGACTCGAACCCGTCAACCCGCGACCACTGGCATAGCAAGTAGGGGTAGCACTATAAACAAAAGTGTCGTCAATTTGGTTTCTTTAAATACTCAATTATAGATTATATTCATCTTAGTTTTGAGGTTTAATTATCGCTAGTTTTCCATTTCATTCATCTATGTATTTAGTAAATGATATAGGAAATTCTTGGTTAAATTTTATTTCTATACTAAATTTAAAAACCTTTTTATTTTTAGACCCATCCCTACTACTTAGTATACCAGAGGCATGTCCCGATCGAGTTCAGATTCTATGACTATGTTGTAACAGTGATATATATCTTAGATCTGGTGGTTTATCTATCGACAGGAGCAAATGTTGAAGATGGTAAATACACAAAATCATTCTTAGATTTACGCGAATATTTGATATTTTAAATAAAACTATCTTTTCGGATTTTTTCGCGAATTTATTTTGATTTTTGCTTCCCGATGTTTCGAATGCTTTACAGCAATCATGGTCACGGGAGATACTAGGTGTCAGATGTCTCAAAGGCATTATATAGTTGTTACAGACGGCGTACCCACAAATTAACAAAATGAATTCAAAATTTTTTAATTAAACTGGTGCCATTTTTCAATTTTACATAAATTTAAAAATTATTTTTTCCGGCTGGAATAAACATAATTTATTTTCCTTTACATTAATAAGTATTAATAGTTATATGTTCTCATATTGCAGGAGTTCCTATCACATTTGCCCAGACTTCGTCTCAACAGGCGCGTAACAAGTGGTTCGTGCTGGACGTCATTGGCACGTTACCCATTCTCGAGTTTATCCATAATGGCCACTTTGCCGGCCTAAATAAGCTTTTAAGACTGCCCAAGGTATGTGTTTATCAAAAGTTTGGTTATTTTAATTGTAAGGTTGCATTTTTATATATTGAGTGTTTTAATGGAAAATAATATATTTGATTAATTTGTAATGATTTATGTATAAGGCATTTACTTATGTGACCTTGATCGATAGGAATGTGTTTAAAAAAAATAAGGGCGCGGATATTCATTTGTTTTCCCGCGCTTTTGATGTCGGTACCACCATGTAGTGACTAGGCACGAATTGTTTGTAATACTGAAATATTATGATTATAAATTATGTAACTCACTGACGTTTATAAAAGTACTGAATATAAGAATATAAGCAAGGAATATCTCGAAGTTTTATTAGGGGCCCAACATAATGTACATTTATTTACTTCTCAATACGGTGCCAGAACTTTTTATTTCAAGATTAGTCCATGGTCCTCATCTCGTTCTGTAGCTTTTTCAGTTTGACATTTACCAACAATTATATATATCAATAAACAGAGTTAGGTTATTGCATAATAGCTATAGAAATACAGTGCCAAGATTTCAGCTCTTCAGGTTTGTTATGGTTTGATTAGGACATTAATTACTTAGCCATACAACTAGGGCATGCAGTCTTTTTATACATTGTAGGTATACCCCTTTACGACCGATCGAATATGAGCGTGACATTTGGTAAAAAAAATCTAATTCAAAATGTATTTGTTTTTGTGAACGCAATCGGCCTCACACAATAATGTCGATACATACGCTTTATTCAAAAATTAAAAAAACACGTTGTAACGTATCCAGTGGTCGAAGGACCGTCGACAAAGATGGCAGCGCATTTTGGACATGGGTCTCGATCACATAAGTACATTTTTTTACTATATTTTTCATAGCTTGACATCTTTTTTTGTTATTAAAGTTTAATGTAAATAATAATTAACGCAAAGCCGTAATTTGTATTTTGATAGCATAGTTGTTCTTTTGTTTGTGATCTCTCAAACTTATATCGTCACGATCGTGACAATCCGGGTTTCAATTCATTAATAATTACGAAAAACGTATTTTTTCTAAAGCTGCTTTTTGACAGTACATGTAAAGTTTTATAATTTTATACTAATTTTAGACGCAGTTTTGAGGGATGAAGAGGTTTTAGACGTCTTGCAAAATAGATATGCTCTATGATATTGAGGTACTGCACGACGAAGGTGAGGAATTTGATCGTTTCCTTTTTCAAAAATTTTGTGATGAATATCATCCAGAAGGTTTCTCTAGCACATTGGGAACTGTCTTCTGATGAGGTAATTACTGAGAATATGTCTGTTCGTTATTTGGTACGTGGAGGCAATCATCCTTTACTGATAAAGATCATAATTACCCAAGGCCACCCTCAGGACATGTCAAGACATCTAGTGAGTATATTTATGACTATTTTGATAAGGAATTCATCGAACTGGTTGCTGGTTGCTCCAATATTTACTACCTACGTAAAAACGGAAGATAATAAAGCTATATTGATGGCGTCCAATTGTACTGGTGCTAAACATCAAGACTACGTTAAACGATGGGACAAACTAACAAACAAACAAAATCTTACAAGGATAATATTATTCCCAGGGTAGTTAGCAATTATATTAGACACATTGGTGGAGTGGATGTTTTAGATCAAATAATGGATTAATAGCGTACCTTCATGAAAACGAAAAAGTGGAATCTGAAGGTAATCATTCATATTTTGGATTTAGCTATAATTAATGCATGGCGGAAGTAAAAAATAGATTGTGAAGCTAATAAACTTCCGAAAAAATATATTAGATCTTCTGAACTTTAAAATGGAAGTAGCAGATGCTTGGTTGAGTACTCCAGACCGCAAACGCCGATTGAGTCAAGACACAGATACTGAAGATGAGGCACCGCCTTTCAAGTATATGCCAGCAAGATATGGGAGAGTAAGCAAGCAAAGAGATATGATGGATATGATCATCTGCCAACCTTTGCACAGTTATCGGCTCAACGTTCCTGCAGATTAGAGTCATGCACAAATAGAAGCAAAATTCGTTGTGTAAATACGATGTTTACTTGTGCATGTCGCAGGGATAAGATTATTTCCGATTATACCATGCGAACTGAAATATCTAATAATTTTATTTGTAACATACAAATAAAATTATTAGATATTGCAGTTGATCTCAAAATGGTTCCTATTATGTTAGTTATTTTTATGTTTTCAAAGATTTAATCTAATTTATATACTGAAGTTGTTTACATTATATAATAAATACAAATATAGATAAGTTTAATACATATAAGTATAATAAAACCAAAAATATATGCAGAATTATTAAGACTTATGTATAGATTACCAAATTATTTAATCACGGATATAAATAAAGTTTATTATACTAGATTTATATTTCATTTACCCAGCTGCTTCCTAAAAAATCACCATCGTGCGGAAGTCAATTTAATCCTGATCGTCACGATCGTGAGGGTACTTTTTTTAAAAAATGGGGGGTACGCAATTTTTTTTGATATTTTTTTTAGGTCGTTTGAAGCCTAAATAACTAGAATACATAAGTCATACACGCAAAAATAAAAAAAAAGTTCGCCGGTTGTAAAGGGATACTCTCTCACAAGTGTATCTATCGTATACTTATATGATAAAATAAAATACACGCGAACCTTGTCGAAATTTACATTGCACTTAGATGATGACGTATAAAGCTTACTATTATTGTGTTCACATGAAAGTCACACAGGTTTATTTAAAACTTAGCGTTAAAGAGTTTTCACAGGTATGTATGTGTATTGTGTAGGAATAAATGGAGCTAAAAAAATAATATGAGTGTTGAGGCTAAAACAAATTATACTTAAGTATTAAGAATATATTCATTTTTAAAAAGTTTTAGAAGAAAAATTACATTGAAAAGTAAACATATTACGTTATTTAATTAAAATTATTTTTTCCAATTCCTGTCTGTGTCTTTTTCATTCTACATGACATCGGTAAAGTGATGATGATGTTCTCCTGACCGATTCCGGCCACGGCGGCCAATCTCACTGAGACTAGCCAACTGCGCAGGAGATATTATAGTGCACAAGTGTACGCGCAGACACAACGTGCACTCTCTATTCCTGTCACTCCCATACTCTGGTGGGACGACCACTCGACACGACCAGTGAGAGTGTCGGCGCAGGACCGACGGCTTTACGTGCTCTCCGAGGCACGGGGGTGAAACACCGCCAACTTCCCAAGTCCAGGCTGTTAATGAGGCTTACTATACAGAAAGACTCAATAACTAAATTTGGCCCGACCCGGGACTCGAACGCAGGACCTCCAGGTGTGCAGCCGTACATGCTAGCCACTACACCACCGAGGCAGTCAGTCGGTAAAATAATCTGTGCTCAACTGGTACACGTTGAAACCTAAATAGCCAAGAAAATTAAATTGAATTGAATTAAAATTATTTCGTATAATTTTCTTTTAAGGTTTTCAGAATGATTAAGTCTATAGAGGAAGAATGTGTGTATCACAGTAATGTAATAAGATTCATGTCGTTCTCACTACTTATCTTTCTCGCTTGCTGGCTTCTGGCGGCCTTGCAACAAGGATTTATGTGTTTTCAGTAAATATTATTTTCATTTTTTTTACCTACATACGAGCATTTATTTCTAAATAGAAATAAATATGCTCAAAATGGCTTAATTTTTTTTTAGATTTGATTATTATTTGACCTAACATAAAGATCTACAGTAGCTACGTCAAATATCTACATAATATGTCTGATAGACGAAACAAGCGGTAGATAGTTTATGTTTGATCGTAATCCTACCAATAATTTATTAAGTATAAACTGCAACATTTAGCCGTTATAACGCGAAAAACATAGGCGCTCATATGTTAATACTTTCTTAGATTTACGCGAATATTTGACATTCGATTCGAATTATTATTTTCAGATATTTCTTCAGATACCCGGATAACCAGCTATCATCGTACCAAATTTCATCAAAATCCCTTTAGTGGGTTTTCCGTGATGCGGTCATATACAGCCAGACAGACAGTCAGACAGACAAACAGATAGACATAAATTCTAAAAACTATAGATTCGGCTTCTGTATCGATAATAAATAATAATATCTATTTCAATGAGATTTTACATAAAACATTTGATTCGGCTTAGCTAGAATTTCATTATGATTGTATATACCTACTAGCGACTCATCGTCGACTTAATTCGTTCCTAGATTGATTCTCCATACAAATTTTCATCCCCTTAAGGGGGTAATTTCCAGAATAAAAAGTATCCTATGTTCTTCCCAGGGTCTCAAACTATCTTATTACCAAATTTAATCTAAATCGGTTTAGTAGATCCAGAGATTAATTACCCCCTGCAACGTCACAAACTCACAAACTTACTATTCACAAACTTTACCTCTTTATTATATTAGTATAGATGATAACGACACTTTCTAGGTTCGATTATTGTATAGTTTCCAACTACACTCACTCCCCATACTGGGAGCAGAAACCTTTGGACGACAAAACTTTAGAAAACAGAATAACGTTTGCACTTTACTGGGCGATTTCTGTCATTACATTCACAAGTAAGTCGGTCATTTTATTTATTTAACTTAGCTATAAGAGCGCTGCTTAGTTGTAATGTATTTTTGGTACGATATTATATTCACCCCTTCTTTGATACCGCTGAAATGAAATATACTTTATTCTTTGTTAAATTTTTTAAATATAAATTAAACATATGAAGAAAAATTAAAATTAGACTTAACGATTAGGTCACCTGGAGACGTGGGGCATAGAAAATTGGAATAATACCATTTACACCATGTTTGTTTTGGAAATTTGCACGGTCCTATACATTTTTATGGAAGCTGTATATTCCGCCACGATCATGGTGACCACAGCTCTCAGGTATCGCTCCTTAATAAAATATTCTATTTATATTTTTGTAAGTAATAACTATGAATTTAAAATTTATAAAAAATTACATTTAATTTATTTTTTTTACTTTAAAATTAGGTACTTTTGAAATATATAATCTTTTTCGAATTGGTGGATATTTTTTTTAAATATAAATATCATGAAAATATAATAATAAAAAATAATAAAAATCAACTCTCCAATTCGCTAAAATGACAAAAAACATACACTCGAATTGAACTTTTGCATCTTTCTCTAAAGTTGGTAAAATTGCAGTGTAAACTCTAAATCTTTCTTTAAACACTACTTAATAATAATAACATGAAAATTTTCAATTAATTTATAGCGTTAAATAAATATTTTGTGTGTCTGTTCACACGCAACTCGTGAAGCGGCTGTACAGATTTTTATTATAATATATTTTTATTCCACATTGTATCAGACATCGGAGATCTCTATTACTAGCATTTTATTTCAATTCTCTTGTGAATGGTACCATGGTGGTGTGGTATGGTATGGTGGAAAGCGTGCCAGTTAAGCGCAGATTATTTCGCCAATGTCGTAGAGAATAAGCAGGTAGTTTTATGTTTATTCATTTTAACTTTGAATTACGTTTCTTTAATATAGAGAAGAGTTTGACGCGTGCATAGAAAATGTCACCAATTTTCTGATCACGAACGATGTGGATGTCATCCTTCGAGACCGATTTATCGAGTATCTACAATTACGCTGGTACATTGATAAGGTTAGTCTGATAATAATTCTCAGGTACACCGAATACAAAATCACTTGCCGAATGCATTTTTGGGGTATAATTTATTTAAACGCGCGTCATTTTGTTCATTGCCGTTTCCGAGATTATCGGAATAAGCAGACACACAAAACTTTTAAAGTTCTTATAAGTACCGTATACACTTTCATATATGTTTAGTAAAAAGTTATTATTTTGACATTACAAACAGACACTTCAATTTTATTTATTTGCATAGAAAATAAATTATAAAATTGAGTTCACAATTGGCGCTATATAATGCTACACAAACAGGTGCATCCGACTTGAGTATTCCTTTTTTGAAATCAGTCCTGTAATAAGCAATGTGTTACCTCATACTCGTATATGTATATAAACTAGCAGAACCCGCGGCTTCGCTCGCGCTAAAACTACAATAAAAACTTTTTAACAAAAAAATAAAAACCGACTTCAAACAAAAGCACTAAAAAGTAAAAAATAACTGATTGGTAGTTTTCATTTACTATACATACCTAATCAAATATTTTCGAAGTCGGTGTGCTTTGCTTTGTATGGGCTGGCACCGATTTCGAAAATATTTGATTATGTATGTATTTAATAGGTAGGCTTTAATTACTTAGCCAAAGCACACCGACTTCGAAAATATTTGATTAGGTATGTATAGTAAATGAAAACTACCAATCAGTTATTTTTTACTTTTTAGTGCTTTTGTTTGAAGTCGGTTTTTATTTTTTTGTTAAAAAGTTTTTATTTTTCCCTTTTTAGTGTAGACAGTAGTAGCAAAGTAAGGATTCTAACGTGTTAGGCTTGTCAAATCAAACAAAATAAGCCCAAACTCAAAGTATCTACTATTAGCCATTGAAGAGTTCCACCTATCCACCTTCTGGCCTTGCCATCAGATCAGGTCAACAACACCGAACCACTGTACTATCAACGGAAATAGAAATACTTGCAAAGTTTCAAGTCAATATGACAATTAGAAGTAGGTTAAATTCATCATTAGTTGTTTTTCCACCCTTAGGGGTGGTATTTTTTTTTGAAATTTAAATGGGACCAATCTGGAAGTATACCCTTTCAAACAAAACAAAAATTGTCCAAATCGGTTAATAAATGACGGAGTTCTGAGGTAACAAACATAAAAAAAAAAAAAAAAAAAAAACATACAGTCGAATTGAGAACCTCCTCCTTTTTGAAGTCGGTTGAAAAATTACTCTAAACCTACCTTAGGTTTCATACAAACTTTCATCCCCTATTTTACCCCCTTACAGGATAAATTTTGAAAAATGCTGAAACACGTATTTATTTAATTGTATTAAAGTTTTTTTGGGTTGTATTATAACGTGGGAATGAAATGATCTCCCGCGATAAAAAGTAGCCTATGTTACTCTCCAGCCCTCCAACTATCTCCACACAAAAAATCACGCAAATGTCACTTCATTTTGACGTGAAAGAAAGACAAACAAACAAACAAACAAACAAACAAACAAACAAACAAACAAACAAACAAACAAACATCCTTTCACATTTATAATATTAGTATGGATAGTACCTTAATCAATTTTCGGCTGGATAAACAGTCTATGAAAAAAATCACATTGATATAGCAACGTCTTGCTGAGTGAAATAAGAAAAAATTAACAAAGACTTATAGTAATAAGTAAACATAAACAAGATACATATTACCTACTAGTATTATGTACCTAATTTCTTATATTTACGCAAATATTTGACATTTTAAATAAAACTATCTTTTCGGATTATTTGCACTGTCTGTAACAAGTATATATTATGATGTTCTCCTAGCCGATTCCGGCTACGGCGGCCAATCTCATTGAGATTAGCCAACTGCGCAGGAGATATTATAGTGCTTAACTGTACGCGCAGACACAACGTGCACTCTCTATTCCTATCACTCTCATACTCCGGTGGGACGACCACTCGACACGACCGGTGAGAGTTAAGGCGCAGGACCGACGGCTTTACGTGCTCTCCGAGGCACGGGGGTGAAACACCGCCAACTTCCCAACTCCGGGCTGTTACTGAGACTTACTATACAGAAAGACTCAATAACTAAACTTGGCCCGACCCGGGACTCGAACCCAGGACCTCCGGATGTGCAGCCGTACATGCTAGCCACTACACCACCGAGCAGAGCATATATTATATACAGCATTTAAAACGTCTAAAACTTTAGTTTCTCCCGTGACCGTGATTGGTGTAAAGAATTCGAAACGTCGGGTACCAAAAATCTAAATTAATCCGCGAAATAATCCGAAAAAATAGTTTTATTTAAAATAAATATAACTTTTTTTCTAATATACTTATAGGCCTATTCTATAACAAACAAACAAACATCCATATTCTACGATCTTCCCGCGCACGTGTATCAAGATATCGTGGCGAGGCAGAGAAGCAAATATATACTTTGCATACCTTTTATGAAGGTAGGTATATTAGTTATTTTTCTTTACGCTACGAGCCTAAGAAAAAGCCCGAGATGGTGTTGTTATTTGGTATGGCTTTCACAAAGAAAATCAAGTGAAGCGGATGCAAGAAGCCTCGGATCTACCGTTTCATAGATTTTCGTATATAAATCTCATTTTCGACATGAATACTAAAGTTAATAATATATGGAAGGAAAATGTTGTAAGGAAATGTGCATATCACGACACTTTAAGTCCGCCATTTCCCAATTTGTCAACCATATTGGACTACAGTTAACCCCCCATGACAGGACTCTATTCACGTTAAAATGCATATGAAAAGCACTAAATTAAGTTATTCGTAGTTATAATGACAATGTTGCATTTTTTAAATCAAATTATGCCTAAAAATTTCAGTTACTCCACAAAGAAGATTTAAAAAATATATATTCCAAGGCGAAATTATTCTGTACGGCACCTAATGAAATTCTACTGAACACAGGCGACATGAGCAATGAAATGTACGTTATTAAAAGAGGCATATGTGAGGTATTTAAGTTTTTTGCTAATAATATATTTTTATTTTATTTTGTGTTTGTTTATGATGTATTTCAAAATATATCAGAAAAATACATTAAAACTATAATTTTTTTTTTAAAACAACACAAACAATGAGAATATGTATAGGTAATTCATATTACAAGACGTAAATTTAAGAGCTATCCAATATCAAGCCACCTGACCTCGAGCAATTAACTGGGCTAATGAAAGTGGTGAAAAAATTACTGGCTATTATAAAGGAGGATTATGTGTTTGACATGTGCGTGTTAATTTTAAATAAAACTATATTTTTGGGATTATTTCGCGGATTTATTTCGATTTTTGGTTCCCGACGTTTCGAATGCTTGAATTGAATGAATTTTCATTTTGTTAATTGTGGGTAGGCTGTCTGTAACAACTATACCAAACTATGCAAAGAAAGGATCGAGGTTAGAAGTAACTGGCCCATACCCACTTCTTCTTCTACCTTTCTCACAGGTTCGCACCTGGATCCGCCAAAGAACGCTGACGCTTCAAAATAAGAGATGGTCGCTAACGACAGACTGCAGGCAAGCTAGATCAGCATTGCCCGCAGTCAACCCACGTCTCACTAAACGCCTACTAAACTTAAACAGAACCAATCTCAAAATAATGATAGGGACAATAACGGGCCACTGTCCCTTAAACAAACACTTATTTAACATTGGCGCAACAGACAGCCCTCTCTGCAGAGGGTGTTTTAGCGCTGTAGAATCAGTCGCTCACGTAGTCCTGGAATGCGTAGCGGTAACTTCCCAACGAAATGAAATCCTCGAACCGGTGAGGTCGCTCCGCGAAGCCTGTGAAGCTCCCAGGAAGCTTTTGCGCTTTTGGACGGAGTTAGGCTGGCTGAACTAGCCAGGTTTCGCAACGTACAACGGACCAAATGCGAGTCTAAGTGCGGAAAACGAGTCCAATATACAATACAATACAACAACTATACCTTCAAGACATGTAACACCTCAGTCTCTCCCGTGACCATGGATGCTGTAAAGCATTCGAAACGTCGGGAACCAAAAATCAAAATAAATGCGCGGAATAATCCGAAAAGATAGTTTTATTTAAAATGACAAATATTCGCGTATATACATATAAGAAAGTATTATGTACATGTTAAATTATAATAGCTACGTGTGTATGTCTCCGACTGCATGATACCTAGTATAGTATTATATGATCTGTGATGATACCATGTTCCTTCGTCAACTTGTTCTCATCTGTTTAGTTCGCTTTTTACGCAATCGGGGTTTTTTATCTTTGAAAATTATTTAAATTTATTTCCAACATCTTTTTCCATGATAACTAATAAAGAAACGGCACTATAAAGTAAATAAATTTATTTATAATAATAGTTATTATTTCTAATATTTAATGGATTTTTCTATTTGAATGTCTTGTTAAGCTTTTCTGTTCACGGCGTATTTCAGTATATTTGCCATAGCAATTAACATGAATAACATAGACCAAAAAATTCTAGATTTTAAGCCCTGAAACTAAAAATGTGGTCGGCGTAATGAGCGCGCGGAATCATTTTGGAGTTATACAGTGCCTTTTGCGTAAGTATTCAATATTTTTATATATTACTAGCATTGCACGCGGCTCCGCCCGCGTTCAGGTGACAAAAAACCAAATTCTTAGGTTTTACATATTAGTATACTCTTACATGGCAGTTTTTGTATTTTTTTCTCAGAAATGAAACATTTTCCCGCGGTAAAAAGTATCCTATATGTTGACCCGGATAACCAGCTAACACCATACCAAATTGCATCAAAATCCCTCCAGTGGTTTTTCTGTGATGCGTTAACAGACAGACAGACAGACAAAAATTCTATAAAACTATAGAATCGGACTCGATATCGATAATAATGTCTATTTCAATTAGATTTTCCAAAAAATATTTAATGTACAGATTCGACTTAGTTACAATCTTATTATATGTATAGTTGGTCTTATTAAGATTAAAAAAAACAACGATACCAACATTCTTCTTTCAACTATTAGATCCTCTATAGTCTTTAGATTGTGGTTGTTTTAAATTTTCTCAAATTTTCTTCTTTTTACTTTTGTTTTCTATATTATTTAAGTAATATATGTCTTATATGTCGTGTTTCGGAAGTTCCGAGGTCGTTTGCCCGCCGACACAGCTTACACGTCTGCACTACGTGTTAAATAGTTTTTATGTTTTTTATAATTAATATATGTGTTAGTTTTAAGGTATATATGCTATGGGCCTCTGTTTACATATTTAAGATCCTTATGTAAATATTGCCTGAAATAAATGATTAAATTAAAAATATATATCTATCGATGATCAATGATCTGTAACAAGTATATGATCCCTTTGCTGTTATTTATTATAATCGCTGTTTTAGGCTTGCCAGCGTTCTACACGGTGCGCGCAGTCACACATGTCGAGATATTCTCTATATCCCGCAAGTATTTACTGAATGCATTCGATATTCCACAAATAAAAGATGCTATAGAATTCTGCAAAGAGCAGCCAGTAAGTGTTATTGATACACGTTTAAGTTGATTTCTTTGTCAATCTATTTTTAAAAACAAGCCAATTACCATAAACAAATAAATTATATAAGATAAATAGTGAATAGTGATAAATGAGTTTAATTTAATTTTATTTTTAAGATCTATATGAATTTAATTTTATTTTTAAAACTCAGATATAATATGTACCTATGCCCATGGAAGACTTTAGTTTTTTTTTTCTGTGACTATATTATTACATTTATTCTTACTCACGTTGCTCACTATTGCTACGATGATTCATGCCAAATCAATCCTACTACTATTACAGGTCAAGATTATATACTTTACTAGAATTGCTCGCGGCTCCGCCCGAGTTCAGATGACCAAAAACCAAATTCTTAGGTTTTACATATTAGTATACACTTACATTGCAGTTTTTGTATTTTTTCTCAGAAATGACACATTTTCCCGAGGTAAATAGTAAATAGTAAAATAATCCTATATGTTGACCCGGATAACCAGCTGTCACCATACCAAGTTTCATCAAAATCCCTCCAGTGGTTTTTCTGTGATGCGGTAACAGACAGACAGACAGACAAAAATTCTAAAAACTATAGATTCGGCCTATGTATCGATAATAATGTTTATTACAATAAGATTTTCCAAAAAATATTTAATGTACAGATTCGGCTTCGTTACAATTTTATTTATATGTACCTATAGTTTAATTATATCATTTGCCTCTTGCGAGTCAACCGAAATCGAATCGAGACCATGATCTCTGTCGTATTAACTATGGATATCAATTGGAAATATGCTTGCCACATTACATTAAACGATTTTTTTATTTCAATAACAAGACGGTTTTTACACGTAGCATACCTATAAATTGAAATCTGCATATTATTATTAGCTGTTATTTGAATAGAATTAGAATTTTTAATATATTATTGTTAATGTTTAATTTTAAAGCAATACAGTCGTCTCCAAAAACTTCGAAAACCGTTCCTATCCTACAAGCCTCCAGAACCAACGCCCAATATGGAGAAGTTCCGCTTACCGAAGAAACATGAACAGGACCATGCATTCCTACAACCTTTCTACAAACTGGGAATGCTTTCTGTTCTAAGGTTAATGGTGTTTTAGCACATGGGTATTTATTATTCAAATATAATTATGTACTTAATCAATTGTCGGAAGTTGATATTGACTTATATCTGAAAGCTGAGTGATAATACCATACGATGACACCATACAAAACCAAAAACACAAATTTATATTTATTTATTATATTATAATAATTGAGACTTATTCGATATTCCACCGTATACTCGCGTGAAGCAAGTTCTGAAAAAACCTGTTGACTTCGATCATATATCAATCATCCCAAACATTTTTTTCTTTATTTTGTGTATAGATATATGTTCCCGCGTTTCACCATTCGACCTGACAGCCGCTATTTAGTGCACTACGAGTGGGTTCGCGCGTCCTGCGCCCTGTTGTCCGCCGTCGTGTATCCGTGCTACACGTACATGGTGCTACAGTGGCCCTGGCTCTACTTTTTTACATTATTGCTTGATTTTTCTGCCTATTTCGATATGTGAGTACAACCATCAGAAAATAATTTCAATAGTTATGAAGTTTTAAGAGCTTTGTAATAATCATGTCCAAAGTACTCATTTGTTTTCAAGACTTACATACATTATATAAAACCAAATGATAACAAATTTTCAAAAAACAAAATCATTTTCTTATTATGAAATTAATTTAAAAGCAAAATGAAAAAAGTAAGATAATCTACAACCTACTTTTTGATGATTTAAAATAAATTTTTCGTATCTTTTTATACAGATTACAAAGAATGTTAATAGGTTACTATAACGAGAAGGGCATTCTCGTGTACCATCCCACGAGTACTGCAGGCCACTACTTGAAAGGGGCGTTCATGGTGGACCTGTTTGGGGTACTACCTTTAGAACGCCTTGAATCTTCTTGGAAGAAATCATTAGGTAATTAAATTTAACTTAGTACATTTTTGGTTACAAAATATATTTTTTTCTATTCTTATTATGGATTCTATTTTAAATCGATTATTCCGCTATACACGGTAACTTAGCTGATTCAGGAAGAAGTAGAATATATCATTATAAGTACCAGGTTCTAACTGAGCTTTTGGGAGCATGGAATTTTAATTCTAATCACAATGAAGTCATTAAACATAACAGATATCTACACATTGATATAATTACTTGATTCTTGAGAAGAGTCGCCCTGGAAGCGATGTAAATTATACATGCTTATTTTAGCAATCGATTGGGCATGAGTTTGTTGAACTTAATATTAAGGAATACTTCCCCCCCAACGTGCGTTCACCTTGTCGTGGTGGGGGGCTTAGTAGTGCCCGGCAATCCAACCGGGCGCGAAGCTAAGAAACGCACAGGGAGGTTGCCCACTTCGGTGGGCGGTGGGAGGTAGCCCTCTTGGGGGGCGGTGTACCATGCGGATTGCTCCTGGTACTTCTCTGATAGCAGAGTAGACCTTGGAGCAACCCCATGGTTGTGGTGGTCTGCTTCGGCAGACCTGCCGTCGGGGCGTCGTAGTTGAATGCGTAAGCGATCCTGCGACGCCCCATTAAGACGGGGGAAGGTTTTGTTGGGTTTTAGTGGGTAGTACTGGCTGTATTACGCCGGTGAGTCCCACACCTCGTGCGTAAATGCATTTCCCAACGTTAAAAAAAATGGTTAAGGAATACTTGGTCTTCATTTGGATTCAATAATTTTTCACAAATATATGTAATGGTTTTAGAATCCCTTTTTTACTTTCAGATGGGAAATACAAAGAAGCGCCAACTACACAGTTTTTAATGCTGAATCGACTTTTGCAACTTTATAGAATGCCTAGTGCATTGCTAGGGCTTACTGGCTTTGTACGGAGAGACATTCTGCTCGTGTAATTATGATAAATTAACAAATTAAATATTTTAACATTATTTTATTCTCGATCTCGTGAAATATTTATTACCTCGTGAGCTACCCATGTTGGTGGTACTCGACTTATTCTTGCTTATTCTAAATATCTGTTTCATAAACTCAAATAAATATCTTTTGTATATAATTATCTCACCAAGATCACTTGATGGACCATGACCAAATTGTACGTGCGTATGTTATATCTCTCGATATCTGTGCTATATTTTATTTACATTAGGTGACAAGTTAAGTCATAGCTCAAAATGACGATTTTTTTATTGGACAAAAATTCTGCAAAACTTATTCGTCTTCATTCAACTGTCAAAATTTTTAGGATTAAAGCAACGCCGATATTCTTGGCCTTGCTAAGCGTGTTAACTTGTTTTGTGGTATATTATTCGGTTGAAATTTTCTACTCAATTAAGGATAATTCCTGGGCTATCGTTCCTCTGAAGGACGCTGGTGGTTCTTGGATAAGTCTATTTCATTCGACTTGTGAGTAATTTAAAATCATCAATCATATTTTTTATGTTACTTACTTTCTATATTAAATTTTCTTTATTTAAATGGTTTTAGTTCGCTTTAATTTAACTGAGTCGCCGTGGAATCTGCATTTGGCTTCTTACTTCTGGGTCGTATACGAGACTACCACCACAGGCTACAGCAGTTTTAAGCCTACAAATTTCAACATCATGCGAGTCCTCATCGCTGGCATGATTATAGGTTAGAAATTCATAGGATCAAACATTCTTTCATGGAGATATAATTATTAAATACTATCTATTTCAATTTTTATTTTATTTTATTTTAATTAGGATCTCCAACAAAAGATACACACAATATACAACATCATATAAAAACAAAAAGCAAATAAGACTCACAACACGTGTGCTCCTTCACTTATAGGAGACCACAGCTTGCTTATTAATGTATTATAAGTTATAACTAAGATTAAATTAAGAAAAAATTAATGTCTAGAAACAAATCTGAAACTATTTATAGAGATACAAAAAAAGAAACAAATCATATTACAACACATTCAAACATTTCTACAATTTATTATTTATTTTTTTCTATATATTTTAATTTTAAATAGAAACAGACGTGACAAGAAAGATATCCTTATATAAAATATGCAATAGTAATTAAACTGGGCTTCTAAAAATTGCATTTTCCGTTCGAAATCTGGTCGGTTGAAAGCTTTGATAAACAAACAAACAAATGAATAAAAATATTCATTTTTTATTATATAGTTTTTTTTATTTAATATTAAAAAAAGTTAAACACCTTGAGATCAGCGTACTAAACGTTCAAAATATTCATAAATTATATTTTTAAACCATTTGTAAAATAACGTAATTTGCATTTAGGCGCAATGATCACTACATACTTTTCTGTGCGAATAATCAGTATACGAGCTAATGTGAACAAGGCCTTAGCGTCCTTTCAAGAGCATATGAAGGATATCGGTGCCTTTATGAAGAGAGAAAAATTGAACTTAGAATTGCAAAAGTATGTAAGAATTTACAGGAAAACGTTTTTTTTTTCTTAGATTTTTTTGTATCTGGATTAGTGTTTTAAAGTATCTTCTTCAAAGGAATAGGACATAGGAGTCGTTGTGTTAAAGATACATTTTGAATTTTTCCTAAACTCCCACATATATTTCACAGTCAGTGTGAGAGAGTGTCAGTCAGTTTTATACTTATCTTTGTAGTTATATTGTTTTGGAGTAAATTATTTGTTTTTATAACACAAGCGAAAGGTGCAATTCGAAATAATTTTATCTTGTAAATATATACTATTTTAGAATAGTTGAATATTTTATTTATTTTAGTCAAGTAATGGAGTATTATAAGTTTAATTGGGACAAAACTGGCGGTATGGACTATAGAAATGTACTTAAACTATGCGATCAAATTACTCTCAGAACAGACGCAATTTTACATATATATGGACCAACTTTCACGAAGGTATTGTTAATAAGCTTGTTAAAATTCTTATAAGTATAACCTATTTTGAACAACTCTTTTGAACAGAAAGTTTTGATAAGCTAAATTTGATGAAATAGATGAGATAATTTTTTCGCAGTATCTACACTGATAATAAATAAATAAATATAATAAATATGTTAGGACATTAACACAGCACCATCTAGTCCCATGGTAAGCTATGAGACTTGTGTTATAGAGACCAGATAGTTAATACACTACACATATATAACTTTAAATACATAAATATTATAAATATAAATAATCCATGACTGGAGTTTAAATATTCGTGCTCATCACACAAATGAATGCCCCCAGCGGGACTCGAGCCCACGACCACTGACACAGCAAGTTGGTTCACTACAAACTGGTTCAAACGTGTCGTCGATAATATAAATACGAAAGTATCTCAGCCGGCTAATCTGCCTTATTTCACAAGACTTTCTTAGTTTCATATTCGTGTCTTGAATCTAAAAACTAATTTACATAATTTTTGCATGCCTGCTACTAAGTTTGATGAGAGTATTGTTAACGACGTAGCTTTTTTCGTATTTTTTTCCTCTACAGTGTCCAATTCTCTACAAATGCGATATATCTCTGCTACGTATTATCGGACGAGCTGTTCGAAGTTGTTACTTCCTTAGGAACACCATGGTCATAGACGTCGACGAAGTTATATCTGATATATACTTTGTCGATCAAGGCAGCGTAGAGTTGGTGGATTCAAAGCGTCTTGATAATAAGATTATTTTGACTAAAGGAAGGTTGGTAAATATTCTATTTTAAAATGTTATTTAAAAAAGATTTCATATTAAGTATCTTGAAGTTAAAAAAGATAATTTTAAAGCAGTAACTCTTATTATTTTGGTAAGTAAGTTTTATATTCGCTTGTTGAAGAAGATGTAAACATATCAATGAATAATAATTATTCTTCTTTCTCGTATTCAAATTTCTTACATAGATTTTGGTACACAAAAATATCCTGTTTAGTTGTTAGTTTATTTAATATATTAATTTAATCTTTACATCTTCCAATTTTCAGTATATTCGGAAACTTAGAAGGTCCATCAACAATTCGCTGCCCTGTGTCAATGACGACGTCTACACAAGTACATTTACTGCAAATACACTCTCAAGCTTTCTTCAGTATCATTAGTGACTTTCCTGCTGTTCCTAAACTGTTGACACTGTACCGTCCTTCGAATGAGGTTAATCAACACATATAATAGATTGTTTCTGACATATCCATATTGCATTTTTACAAAAGTCAAATCTGTGGTATTTAGGATTGCAACTAATTATTCAAGTTCAAGACTCAGCTTCTCGATGTACATAATTCTATATATTTAACTACGCTCATTTAATTTTTTACGTAAAATTACTTAACTTTTAAAGATCGTAGCCTTTCCGTATAAACTGAATATAGTGCAAAAGGAATCTTTCGAATTGGACTAGCAGTTCTGGAGTTAGCGCTTTCAAACGAACAGACATAGATATTATGTTTAATTTTTCTACTTTATCATATTATTATAAATAAGCAGAAATATATAAAGCTTCGTCCGTTTTTGTTTTCAGAACTTTATCAATGCCATTAATCCATTAGTTCAATTAAGTCTCAAAAAGTCTTCCGTAGTATGGATCAAAGGGCAAGTCATAGCCAGCTATTTCCAAATAAAGCAATCATTTATTAGAATCTATTTGATCATAATTTGCTGTCTTTGCGTCTATGCCGATGTGTATAACGCTGGTTTCCAAGACAATAGACCTCTCTTAATAATTGGTCTGTACTTATTGGATTTTTGCTTCTTCTGGAAGTTTCTTATTCAGTACTTTCTCCCGCTATTGGTTAAGTCTAGCGATGAAGATGTTCTACGCTCTTTAATGAAGTTTCGCAATGAGTAAGTTAAACGATATGATTTTTTACCAGTATTTTTTTTTAATTTACTAGAATCGTACCTACGTAGCATTGTTTTGTATCTACATATCTGATTTTAAAAGAGTTTTCTATTGATATGATAATAATAGTAATTAAAACTTAAAACACAAACAAGGCTATTTGAATAGATGTATTGGCTATTTGAAAGTCTAATTCGAGCTTCCTGAACTAAAAGGTGAGGCGGTAAAAGACAATGAGTAGATTTTTTAAAATTATGCATAATTTTTTCAGCTATTTCAAACAAGAATTTAAGTACGATTTAATATCGTTTGTTCCAATCGAATTGTTATGTTTTCTAAGCCATGGCAATCGTGGGATGGCTTTCTCATGGCTGAGACTAAATAGATTGTGGAGAATCGTAAGTAATAATTCTAATGATTTAGAATTCGTCAGTGTTATAATTCTAATGATGATGAATTCATTGATATACAAAAATTCAAGATATACTATTAGCGTCTCAAAAGTGTCCTCAAAAAGAAGTGCAAAATTCGAAATTAAATTTTATTATAATATTATATTTATAATATGTATGTATTTACAGTTATATATGTGTAGTGTATCAATTATCTGGTATTCGTAACACAAGCCTCGTAGCTTACCATGGAACTAGATGGTGCTGTGTGGTAATGTCCTAACATATTTATTTATTTATTATTTTAATTGCGCTTTTTTCAAATACCTTTTGTTCATTGCTCTTCGTATAACAAAATGAAAACGAACGTTCTTTTGTTTAAAAAAGTACCTTATGTGATGTGGGTAAGTTCGAATTTGAGTTTAGACAATTAGAACTTTCGATTTTCGAATTTTATTCTTTCGTTTGACTTAACGTATCGACGCCACTTTTTGAAGAGATATTTGTAAGGAAATGTGTATCTATGTTTTTATATATCAATGGATAAACTTGACGACATTAATATTAAATATTGACTTCCAATCTAATTGGAAAGCAATATTTAAAACTTGAACTTGAAAGATTTTGTTGCTGAACAGTGAAAATATTGTAATGGTTAAACTGTTGAAAATCTATCAAATTGTCTATTATCATAAAGAACCAATGCTTATCAATTTTATTGTTTAAGATCCCATAGACTACAGACTTTCTATCATTCGATAATTTAGTTGGTTTCATAATCGGTATTAAACTGTTAGCCCAACAAACTTTTTTTTCGATTAATACCTAATCTTTACCATATCTACTGAGTTTTTTGAGATCAACCATCTATATATATAAAAGAAAGTCGTGTTAGTTACACTATTTATAATTCAAGAACGGCTGAACCGATTTGGGTGAAACTTGGTGGGGAGGTAGCTTAGAACCAGGAGACGGATATAGGATACTTTTTAGCCCGTTCGACTGCGTTCCCGTATACAAGACTCAAGAACGGCTGGACCAATTTTTATGATATTTGAATTTTTGGATTTCTCTCATTCCGGAATAGGTTAATGCCTAAGTATTAAAACGTCAGAAAAAGTAACGAAAAAAATATATTTATTTGGCTTATAACACTGGCTAATAACTATTTATATTTATTTAAAACGTACCTAGCGACGAACCCGAGCGAAGCGAGGGTGAGCCGCTAGTAGAGTAATAAAAAGACTGTAATTTGCGAGGCTCTTAATCTATGTATATATAAAAATCAATTGCTGTTCGTCAGTCTCGCTAAAACTCAAAAACGGCTGGACCGATTTGAATGATTCTTCTTTTGTTTTGTTGGGGGTGTGACAGGGGTGGATAAAAATAAAAAAATAGGGCAAATCCAAAAAAACTGGTGGAAATTCGAAGAGTATAGACATGTTTATTTTTTATTGGAATCTCTAACCGCTAAAAGTACCTAGCGAAGAACCCGATATATCGAGGGTGAGTTGTTAGTCATAAATAAAAGGAAATGTTATAACTAAAGGTAACGGTATACAAATGCCTCAAACGCCACCACGAGCGTATCTCCATCAACCTGACACTCACCACCACGTGTAGTGTCCTTATCTGGTTCACGATGTCCGTCCATGTGTCCACTTGTTTGTGGTATTTCATTGGATCTTTGGAAGAAAAGAATACTCCTAAATCTTCTTGGATTTATAAGGGTAATAACTATAATACTGATTTTGCTTCTTATTTTGTTTCACTTAGAACTTTTTTATTATTAGCATTCTATGTATTGTAAAATATATCCTTTACCTATTTATAAATACATAACATATATTAGTTAAAAAAAAATTAAAAGTGTTTTTTTTTATGTCAATGTGATTTGATCATTTAAACTATACTAATATTATAAAGGCGTAAAGTTTGTGAGTTTTTGATGTTGTAGGGGGTAATCTCTGGATCAACTGAATCGAATTAGATGAAATTTGGTAAGAAGATAGTTTGAGATCCTGGGAAAGATATAGGATACCTTTAATCCCGGAAATCATCCATCCATTATGGGGGTGTAAATGGGCATGAGAGTTTGTATGGGGAATCAATATAGGGACGAACCCGAGCGAAGCGAGGCTGAGTCACTAGTATAATATATTCTTGATTATAGATGACGGAAAGCCCTGGTGTCAAAACAACTACATTTGTTCATTGTACTTTGTAATGACCACTTTCACACAAAATGGAGTTGGCGATATTCTACCAAAAAAGCAATCGGAGGTACTTTATAGGATATATTTAACAAAAAATTTTTTTTAGTTTTCTGTTAAAGCTTCAAAAATTACTTACTTTAAGGTTTTAATTTTGTTGAATTATAAATTTGTAAGATTGTTTTCTATTGATTGTAGGTGATGTTTGTATCCATGTTGCAAGTAATATCCACCATGATGTACATGGTGTATGTGGGAGAGCTGTCTAATATCATTCAGTACCAGTCTTATCGCTCATTCTATTTTTACTCTAGCTATCTTCAATTACAAGTAAGTCAAATTTTGTATTGTACAATGGCTGACAAGCGTTCTAGTTGCTTTTGCTGAGCTCTTCCTTTCTTTACTTGAAACCTTTAGTTAGAGAAAAGTTTACTTAAGCATTAAATTATAGTTGACGTTGATGTAGTCTTTACGGCTGCAGATTGTGAGGTCTTGGGTTCAAGTCCCGAGTCATTCCGAAAGAGTTACTGGGCTTTTGAGAAATACTCCTTTTAAGTCAAAAAGTAAAATTTTTATTGCGGTATTGTAAATTGTAATTATATTTAAAAAGAGCAACTGTTGAGTTTCTCACCGGCCCTTTTTAGCAGAACTGTCTTCCTCACGGACTGATTACACTAACATTTAATTTAAATATAAAATGCAAAATTGACGATTCAAAAGTGCTTGTAAAAATCTATTTGAATAAAGTATACTTTGACTGATTGGTTGATTGACGCAGCCCGGAGTTCACAAGTCAGCGGTATGTACCTGTGTTGTCGATTGAACAGGGAATGATGAACAAGTTTAAACAAACACAAAATCGAACAACAAGTCTTAGTAGGAAATAGCATTCAGTAATTCTGTATCTGTATTTAAATTAAAATTTCTATCACCATTTATTTTATTACATGACACCAGCAATATGCCTCGTAGACAGCTCGCAGCGGCCCATTAGCGGCTTGTCACGTTAAAGTTCACACAATTGAAAGTAAAATTAATTATGTATTTAAAACGGAGCCGGTGCCAAATAGTCACTGACTAAATGGAGGGCACGCTTATTTGTATCGGATCAAAGCGTCATTATTAATAAATCGGAGATTGTAAGAGACGTGCACTCGTATTTAATGGATTTGAATGCATATGCAATATCGATTACTTTCTTCATAAACTGAATAATATTATGGGGTGTTTGTTATCTTTTTTTTTAATTTACATTATTTTCTTTTAACTGCCTCCGTGGTGTAGTGGCTAGCATGTACGGCTGCACACCCGGAGGTCCTGGGTTCGAGTCCCGGGTCGGGCCAAGTTTAGTTATTGAGTCTTTCTGTATAAGTAAGCTTCAGTAACAGCCCGTAGTTGGGAAGTTGGCTGTGTTTCACCCCCGTGCCTCGGAGAGCACGTAAAGCCGTCGGTCCTGCGCCTTAACTCTCACTGGTCGTGTCTCGCGTCGTCCCACCGGAATATGAGAGTGACAGGAATAGAGAGTGCACGTTGTGTCTGCGCGTACACTTGTGCACTATAATATCTCCTGCGCAGTTGGCTAGTCTCAATGAGATTGGCCGCCGTGGCCGGAATCGGTCAGGAGAACATCATCATCATCATCATTTTCTTTTACATTTATTTCTTCTTATCTGTTATCTCACTGGAGTATAGTTCCAGAGATGAGGTCGTTCAAAAAAAATCATTAAAAAAAAACTATTTTAGATATAAAAATGATGCAAATATTCAATAATATAAATACAAGTTACAACCAATATAATATACGTAAATTTTGTTCTATTTAAAACATATATATAATAAGCTACATTTTAATTATACCTACACTAGTGATTCACCCTAGCTTCGCTCGGGTTCTCGTCCCTAGGCACGTTTTAACGGTTAGTACGGAATAGATATACTGTATATTATATGATATTCCTCTTAACTTCCTCAATAAATGGGCTATCTAATGCAAAAGAATTTTTCAAATCGGATAAGTAGTTCCTGAGATTAGCACGTTCAAATGAACAACGAACTCTGTCTCTTTATAATATTAATATAGATTAAATTCAAAATAAAATCCATACTAATATTATAAATGTGTAAGTGTGTTTGTTTGTCTTCACGTCGAAATAGCGTTGCGGATTGGCGTGATTTTTTGTGTGGAGATAGTTGTAGTAGAGCTGGAGTGACAGGCTACTTTTTATCGCTGGACATTATCTTACTCCCACACGAAAAACACGTTATATACATACAACCAAAAAAAATAATTATCATCAGAATTACTTGAAAATTGATATTAATGCTCTTCAATACAATGGAAGAAATACGTGTTTTAGCATTTTTCGAAATTCATCCCATAAATGGGAAAATAGGGGATAAAGGTTTGTAGGAAACCTACCTTTTTAGATATTTTTTTTTTGTATTTTTAGCGCGAGCGAAGCCGCGGTTTCTGCTAGTAATTTATAATTACAATTATTTAAAGGTTATTCAAAAATTATATTAATATATCATGGATCTGTCAGATAGAGAATACCAAGACAAACAGCGCCCGAATCAAACCTATCAATCGTCGGCGGCGCGCGCGTGGATGACGACGGATTATTAATGTTCGGAATGTTCGACGTGACTGAAACAACTATTTATGCAACCATAAATTATCATACTAATGTTTTAAACGCGAAAGTGTATTTGTCTCTTTCTGCATACTTGATTATATTAACTAAATATATGTATCTGTAGCAAAGATTCTTATTTAAATAATTAAACACAACTTGAGGCACAGAGGGTTTATTTATTATTTTCTCTTCAAATACTATGAGTTATCAGAGACATCGGACATCCTTCCATGGTTGTAACAATCCATTTCACGTACACCGTACTATAGTGGTAGATAATAATGTTGAAAATGATTCGTACATGAAAATATCAGAGGTGCAAGACCGGCATTTGAGTCCGATTCACTCAGTTTTCCAAGCGAGCGCTTAACCACTAGGCTACCACTGCCTTTGTAACTATTCAGCAATAAAATTGGAAATGAGCGAAACCAAGTCACGACCTCTAATATTTACAAGTAATGATATACTTACTCATGACTCTTTCTTTTTCAGGACTTCCTAAAAAATAATCGTGTGTCGAAAGTTTTGGTTAAATTAGTAAACAAATATTCTTTGCATCTATGGCGCGAGACGCGCGGTCTTCAAGTGCCGTATTTTTTGAAGACAGCACCTAATTGCCTTAAGCTCAAAATAATGTCTGCTGCATATTTGTTCCACCTTAGAGATGTAAGAAATATTTACTATATATTATTATTAGTATAGGCAGTGGTAGCCCAGTGGTAACGCGCTCACTTGGGAAACCGAGTGAAGCGGGTTCAAATCCCAGGTCTCGCACCTCTGATATTTTCATGTGCGAATCATTTCTAACATGATTACCACTTGCCTTACGGTGAAGGAAAACATCGTGAGGAAACCTGCATGTCTGAGAAATCCTAGCAAGTTTTCGAAAGACATGTGAAGTCCGCCAATCCGCACTTGGCCAGCGTGGTGGACTATGGCCTGATCCCCCTCATATGAAGGGAGGCCCGTGCCCAGCAGTGGGATGTTAAAAGGGCTGAATACATACATACATACATACATTAGTACACTCCAAAATTATCTAATGTAAACTATACATATAATAAAATTGTAACGAAGCCGAATCTGTACATTAAATATTTTTTGGAAAATCTTATTGAAATAAACATTATTATCGAACAACTAAAGCTTGTTTGAGCTTTCTACCTTAAAAATATCTACACATATACAATGATTAAAACGTATTAGCAATAATGTCTAGAAAGGCTAAGCAAATTATGGGCTTAAAGTAACATGGTGCATTGATCACAATAGGCCAGATATGGTCGTAGTGATACACCATAGACGCAATATAGACATAAAAAAACATGGTGTGTACTGTGTAGTGAGGTAGGACGTGACAGGTGTCATGAGGGTAGAAGCAAAGGGAGTTTAGGTCTTTAGTGAAAATATACTGTTTTTTTTAATGTAGATATAGTAAAAAAAATGTCGAAATCGAAATTACCTATGTATTTATAATCATTTAAAATTTTACCCCGACCGTGAATTGAACCCATGCTGAATCAAAGAACAAGACTGAGTAGAATAAGCGATTTCATAGACAAGTAGGACTTTTTTTATCTATTGGTCATATTGCGAACTAGCGAGTTCCCGTTCTGTAGGAATTCTTGAGTCATTCTCGTTTCCACCCGCTCACTTGTTAGTACACTCTAAAATTATCTAATGGAGTCTATAAATAAATATAATAAAATTGTAACTAAGCCGAATCTGTACATTAAATATTTTTTGGAAAATCTTATTGAAATAAACATTATTATCGATACAGAGGCCGAATCTATAGTTTTTAGAACTTTTGTCTGTCTGTCTGTCTGTCTGTCTGTTACCGCATTACAGAAAAATCATTGGAGGGATTTTGATGAAATTAGGTATGGTCACAGCTGGTTATCCAGGTCAATATATAGGATACTTTTTACCGCGGGAAAATGTCCTATTTCTGAGGAAAAACACAAAAACTGCAATGTAAGAGTATACTAATATGTAGAACCTAAGAATTTGGGTTTTGGTCATCTGAACGTAGGCGTAGCCGCGGGAAATGCTAGTATACTCTAAAATTATCTAATGTAAAATTACGATTATTGGCACAGTATTAGGGTATCTAATTAACCTACATATTAAAAATCCTGCTTAAAGAACATTATTATAACTATGTGTGCGTCCTTAGGTAGGTACGTTTTAATTTTTTTCAGTGGTACTGTAATTCTTTTTCTAAAATAAAAGTAGCCTAAGTACCCACTACCTTATATATGTATACACCAGCTATCTTCCAGTGAAAGCTGCGTCAAAATCAGTCCAGCCGTTTCGGAGATTAGCTGAAACAAACATACACTATAATTTTATTTATCTGTATAGATAAAATAATATAAGTAATACTCTTACATGAGATGTGTAGGTATATAACAGAAAGGTCTTTAAAAGATAAAATCATATATATATATATATTAAATTGTTAAAGTAGTTCTAGAAGCTGATTGTCCACTGTCTAATTAAAATACTTACTTCTTTTTTTTAGCATCATTTATTTAGAGGCTGCGAGCCCGCATTTCTTCGACAGTTAGTTGTTTATCTACAGCTACATATATACGATGAAGGTAAGGTCTTAGCTTTTTATTTGATCAGCATACGTAATATGTAATAATATCAAATTGTATTAATAAAAATAAAATTTATTATGAAATTTTGTTATTTGGTTGGCCTAGTCCTTTGTCTCACTGTTGTGAGTTGTCGTCACAACAATTCAGTTTGTTAGATTTATGACACAGGAAGTTGTTTATGCCATTCCATTCATTTTATACCATTCTATTTCGTGGAATTTTAGTAAATTCTAAATAGTAACTGGGAGACACATGAGTTAGAGCCTGAGCGAAGTGGCGTGTTGCTAATACTTTAAAATATAAATATTTTGATTTTTGATATGAAGCAATATGTTCTAAGCAAAACATAAAAAAACTTTGTTCAGTATTTTTCGCTACAAAACTATGTTTCTACTTCATTATATAACATTTCTTTATATTCATTATATGTATATTATTAACATTTCAGTATTATATATAAAGATCACCAGGACAAATAAATTATTAAAATCAACTCATTTTTCAGACATGTTCATTGTAAAAGAGAGAGAAATAACTGACTCTATGTATATTATTCACGTTGGACGTGTAATAGAGACTTCAGAGAAATCTAGCAGAAGGAAATCATACCAAGCCGGAGAATACTTTGGGGAGGTGGCTCTTATTTTTGTATCATAATCTATTTACATTACACATATAACAAATTTATAAGTAAGCCGAATCTGTACATTAAATATTTATTGGAAAATCTTGTTGAAATATGTAATAATTAATATCGATACAGAGGCCTTTTAGAATTATTGTCTGTCTGTCTGTGACCGCATTACGAAAAAACCACTGGACAGATTTTGATGAAATTTGTTAATGATAGCTGGTTATCCGGGTCAAAATATAGGATACTTTTTACTGCGGAAAAATATGTCATCCCTGAGAAATCTATACTAAACTTTAAAACTATATAAATAGGTTGAAATTAACTTTTCTGTTTAAATTTTAGTTGCAAGGTACAGTTTATGATGTCCCGTTTGAGCACTCATACAAAACAGCGGTCAAGTCACAAATACTTACTTTGTCACATAAGGATTGGGAAGATCTATTGACCCATTTCCCTAAAAGTAAGAAAAATATATATAGATATGTCCAAAATGAAACTACATCGAGTGATGGTGATGGAGACGACGGGATGGATGGGAGAAATAAAAATGTAAATTTCAGCAATACTGATGACGTTTTAAGACCTTTTCCTAAAGAGGTGCCTACTACGACTGCCTCTCAACATACATCTATTGACACAAATTTAAGAAAGGAATCTTCTGAACACAGTGCAACACCAGGATCTAGTAATATGAGATCCCAATCCGTAGACAACCCTTCCAGTTGGCCACTAGAAAAGAAAAAGTCTTATGGTAGTGATTTTATTGACACTCCTTTAAAAGTAGAGAATATTTACACGAAATCTCGGAAATTAATTGAAGAGAAAGGCAGAACTTACTTAATGGAGGTTAAATCATCAACTTCTCAATATGAAGAAAGATCTTCTGAAATCGATACAAAAGAAGAAAGCACAGAATCTCGTAGCAGTATACAGAAGAGTGATTTTAAAACCAAACATGATATAAAAAGCGTGGAAGATTACATTCTAGAACAACATGGAGACAGAAGCAGTTTGCCTAAAAGTACTCGATCACAATCAACTAAATCTAGTAAAAGACGTAAGACTGCTGTCAGGTATAATGACAGCGAGCCTACAACTTCTGGATTAGACTCGCACGAACTGAAACCAAGAAGAAACATGTCTGCTGAAGAACAAAATTTGAATTCCTTAGATAGTGAAATGCAAGAAATACAAATACAAGATCTGGATATTACAGAAAAAGATTCTGATAAGAACGATTTTTAGGTTGGCATGATTATAATAAAAAATGTATCGTATACTTTTTATTTTAAAACAATTTACCTAATAGATCCTGTGCAAATTATGTATGGGCAATTAAAAAAAAATATTAACATTTTGGTTTAAAAAAATCTCTATACAAATTTTATAAAATCGCTCACAGAATCAATATAAATCACTGAAAACTCAAACATAACAAATAAATATTTATGGTATTTAAACGATTCGCACTCAATTTCGAAGTAAATATTTTGCTAAGACTAATTTGCGTGTATAGCAGTTATCAAGTTGTCATCGCCGCCCTATAGGCCGTTCATTCACAGTACTGAACCGTATTTATGAATTACAGCTTATGTTGGATGGACGCCAAGATGCTCTATTTCTGTGACCGTTAACATCACTCGGCCACCTGACCTGACTTCTAGTTTATTGCCTTTAGTTTTTGATTTCAATTACATTATCAGCATGTACTACAATAAAACATAGCTATTTTTCCTTGAAATCTACGAACACTGGTTAATCTCATTCGTTTTATTTATTTATTTTTCTTCTTTAGTGGCTTAGAGTTGCGTTAACAGACGCAATACATTCTGCCAGTGTCACGTATTGTGGGGAAGACACGAATGAGTTTGAGCGGTAAATTTAAAAATTAATTTTATATTGATGCTAAATAGACTGTGTGTGTGTGTATCTAATATTTTCTTTCGTAGATACACATGTCACAGCCTTTAAAATCATTCATTAAAGAATGTCTTGTTTTAATGAAAATTAAACTGTCATTTTTATCTAAAAATCAGAAAATCAATGAATCAATAATTTGACTTTATAATTTTTTTATCCATCTATTAAAGTAGTATAATCAGAATATTTTGGATTATTCCTATCTAAATAGTCCTTTACTTTTAGAAGGCGAAGAAAAAAACAAAACGATACTTAATAACTTTATTACAAAACCCTCATGTCTTAATAACGTGTCATTCTAAAAATATATGGATGCACCAATAAATAATATACATTTTTTACTTTTATTTGACGATTTTATCTTGTCTTTCTCGCGAGTTACACTTTTTGTTTTTTTTTTTTTGGAATGCCCAACACTGGACGATGTTTGAATTTGCTCAGCTGTTGAGCTTTTTAGAAGTTGATGAATAAATGCTTGTGAGTATACCGACATACTTAAAACAATAACTTAAATACTAAAATTACGGTTTCTTAAATTATATTTTACAGTGTGTGACTATCCGCCATCTTTCATTGGTCTCTTCATTGGTTGGCTTGTTGCTGACCACATCTGAAAACCAAATTATGTTTTATTTTTCTTTTATTTTACTTATAGGTTTATAGTATATAAAACAGGTTTAAAATATGGATAATTCTTAGAAACTATGCTTAATTATCTATTGTCCTTTCACATTAATTTATAATGGCAGCCGAAGTCAAGTTGCATTTTAACTATAATATTATAAAGAGGTAAAGTTTGTAAGTTTGTGAGCTTATGTTATTGTAGGGGGTAATCTCTGGATCTACTGAAGCGATTTAGATGAAGTTTGGTAAGAAGATAGTTTGAGACCCTGGAAAGGACATAGGATACTTTTTATTCCGGAAATCATCCCATCATTAAGGGGGTGAAAATAGGGATGAAATTTTGTATTGAGAATCGAGGTAGTTCTAAATAAAACTAGTACATGGGACAAAATATCAAACGATATTAAAATTTATAAAATATAAGTTTTCAAAAGTGGTAGATATTTGATATAACATTTAAAATATGCTCTGTGAGTCATGCTGAATATTTAGAATTTGTACAATTGCCTTATTATAATATGGGACATGCAAAGAAAACCCTTGAATTTGAAATGAGATAAAGCTTAAATTAAGAAACGAATAACCAGCCCTGGTAAAAAGTATTCTATACGTATCTATTAATCATCTACAGAGTCAACGTCTATATCAAAAAATAAAAAAAACATTAATATAAAGCAGCGATAGGTTTTTCATTCAGCAAACAGAAGCTTGAACATTGATTCTCATATTTCAAAGTTCAAAAATAATTGACATTTAGCCGTTTTAGGGGATACATTTTTTGAATTCAGCGTGATTCTGTTGATTTTAATTAAAATAAATTATGATTACCCACATATGTATATTTTTTATAATCATCGGAAAAAAACTGCGATCGCAACGAGATAATATACTAATGTGTACCACAGTGAAAAAATAGCCGCCAAATATTTGGCACTCGCATCTAATGGAGCTTATTAATATTTATAATAAAATTGAGAGCTACGGCTTTAAATATACATCAATTTGTTAACAGAAATGCTGCTAACATTTTTATTAAATTGTCAGTAAAATGTGATATTTATGAATTGTCTCTAACAGCTGTACGTTGAAAAATTTTCATTATGTGGATAGGTAAATATAAAATAATAAAATTATTATTTCTCCTGCTAAGAATGAGTCAAATGTTTACAAATAAATGATTTATTCGATGAGGATCATGTTACTTAATCGACGTCGTCCGTCGTCTAAACTCTAAAACCATAGACAAATAGAGTTTATGACCTATACTTTGTCTGCTGTCAGCTAATAATGGCGGGAAGGCGCGCAAGAGACAAAACGAATGTACGGCCAAACGTCTTCTGTATTCATTAAAACAAGAGTAATTAAGGTAGATATGTATAACCATTTCACATTACATTATAATATTATAATTTTTTTACATCACATTTATAAATTGAAATTGGAATAAAATACAGGTATTGGCCGTACGTTCGCTTTCTCTCCTTCTAGAGAATGGTCAATTTCATGACAGTATTGCTCAGTCCATTCTCTATATCTACGTTTTGAAACGCTATTTTATGCAGATGTTTGAATGTTTCACAGAATATGTTGTTATGGCAATACCGAAAAATAAAGGTAGTTTCACAAGCACCTGGCTATTAAAAGTTTTATTTTTGCTTTATATCAAGTGAAGTTATCACTATTTAAAAAAAAGAATATCTAAGATATTTATAACAAAGTTAAAGGACAAGGACGCGATCAAATAAAGATGTCACTACAGAACTAAATATAAGTTTAAACAATTTATTTTTATTTCTACATTCTATTTCTTCGACAATGTGGGAATATCTTGCATGATTTATGACCGCTACGTCGCCTCCTTTCAATATTAGACTTTGTAATTGATGTTCTGCTTAAAAAATGTTGAGTACATTTTAAAGATATCTCTAAGACATTGGCTTTGATCATTTTTTATTGTGTATTTTTTTTACTGGGTTATTGGTTTGAGGTCTTGTGATGTTGAAAGTATCTAGATCATAATAATATTTGTATGAACTAGTATTGCGTTAAGAATTGACATCCATTTTCCAAATGATGCTATCAGATTTTTGAAGTCATTTGGTTAATTTCAACTGAAGAATGTCGGATAATTTGTTTGGAACTGAAGAATGTTATTTAATTTTGGCATTACTACAAAAAAAACAAAAAGAACACAAAATATAGATTCAAAAATTTACGTTTTGTATATCTTCTTAGAATTTGATGTAATTTAAAATTGATGTAACAACTTCCTTGAACAGATTAATTAATGCAAAAAATTATCAAGAAAATGTCAGCATCTCATTAGGTACGAGAATATTATAAAGGCAAAAAAATTCGATTGTATATAATATATACCACGCGAGCAAAGACACGGGCAAAAACTATAATATATAATATGAAATAAGATGTTTCACTAACAAAGTTGCAAAATTTGTTAAATAATTGATGTCAACCACTAATGTAAAGATGGTGACAAATTGCAAGGTGAGTAGCCGCTGTGATCCGCGAGCACTGAGTATTCCTGGCATTTGGACACGTGTTGTTAATCAATCGTGGAATTAGAAACGCATATTTTACATATTTTATAACATACTGGTACTTATGATTTTAAAAGAATAATATTTTTGCAGCAAAAACAATACAATTATTAGAATGGGCAACAAGTAAAATAAGTTTTTTTTAAATTTATTTATATACCAGAAAAAAAAAACAAAAGAAAACAGATAGCATGTGTACAAAGGATGGCTTATCTCTTAAGAGATACCAGAAACCCTCAAGCGTGAGAAAATTTAAAAATAATAAGGAGGAGGTTATTATCAAAAAAACTATAAAAATATGCTTTTTAAATGGGCCCAAACTTTTTTTAGAGATTGAAGATTCGTCGTCAGATTAACAAGATAGTATCAAATTATTGTATGATCATTCAGATTACAGTATTCAAATCGCTTCGAAGTTTAGAAGTAGGCTAAAATCGATTGCCAAGATTTGATTACATACTTGCAAGAAAAACTCATAAACAGCTTCATAATGAACTGAATATCACTTACAGTATATAATTTACATACATTCATTGCCATAGGCAAGTATTGTATTAATCTAAAACTTAACAAAAATGTAGGTATTATTCAATTCAATTCAATTTTCTTGTTAACGGGCTTCAAAATTTACCAGTTGGTACAGATTTTTTATTTATGTAATTCTTTCCTAGTTATATATAAAATCGATATGTTATTCGAATCGTTAACTATGACAAAAGAATAATAAATTGCACATTTTTCGGAGGAGTGACGTGTTTACTAGCAAAAAACTGTTTTGATATTCTGTCTTGGCACATTTACAATTGAAAATTACATTTAAATTTTAATATTCCGACGGATCTTGGTACGATTGGGCGGATAATTTTAGAGGCAATGTTGTTTTGAGGTGACGCAGGCGCCGTGTGTATAGATAGATTTAATTTTATGTGTCATCAAAAAATCATTTTAAAAGTAAATCTTTCCATTTCAATTCCAAAAGAAAATTTTCCTCGGGTGGAAATGAAATTGTGTTTATTTAGAAAATATTATTAATGGTAGATTGACAAGATAATTGAAAATAATTAAGTCTGAAAAAGTACTAAAACTTCCTATGTAATAACCTTAATTCGTCAATAGAGAAAGAATGGACATATTTTTTTTACACAAAGACGAAAATATATATCGATTTATTAGTTAAATTATTAACTACGATATACTTTAGAGTATCTACTTCTATTTCGACATTTATAAAGATTACCGAAGAATATTAATTTAGCCACGTGGGAGCCAAATAGCCTTAGCAAAAATAAGTAGCCAAAAATAAAATTGTAATTTCTATCATAGGTATCCCCTATCGCATTCATTTTAATTATCTATACACATAATAAAATTGTAACTAAGCCGAATCTGTACATTCAATATTTTTTGGAAAATCTTATTGAAATAAACATTATTATCGATACAGAGGCCGAATCTATAGTTTTTAGAATTTTTGTCTGTCTGTCTGTTACCGCATCACAGAAAAATTACTGGAGGGATTTTAGTGAAATTTGGTATGATGATAGCTGGTTGTCCGGGTCAACATATAGGATACTTTTTACCACGGAAAAATGTCTCATTTTTGAGAAAAAATACAAAAACTGCAATGTAAGAGTATACTAATATGTAAAACCTAAGAATTTGGTTTTTGGTCATCTGAACGCGGGCGGAGCCGCGGGCAATGCTAGTGTTTCATATAAAAACGAAGAAAACTTCAATAAAAATGAAATGAAATGGAGATGAGCATTAATTACCGCATCAATGAGTTATTCGTAACTAGATAGATAGAGATACTTTGAATGTAGCGACTATTTTATTAAACTACTGATGCCAAAATATTTTATAGTTATTTTATGTTATATATTTAATAGACCGGATATGTTTAAATGGATATTTAATGTTACAACATTAAGAACCACTTGCATCAAATTCTCAATTTAAATCTTTTAAAATATTTGTAGAAAACGTCAAATTTTACAGTTTAATGTTATCTAAACGTAGCGATATTTAACCCAAATTAAAAAAAATGAATTTTATGTGACCCTTAGAAATAATTTTGTAAAATATTTCAAAATAAGGTTTTCTAGGTTAGTTTTCCTAAAAAGGCACTACACTGAAGCAACATTTCAAACAGAAGAAAGAGACGAGGCACCTCAGAACATTCCGGAGTAAAGTAGCCAGAGACTCGCTAAAAGAAGCACCAGGATGAGATAGGTGGCGATCAGGCTCGTAGTCTCGTGGTTCGGCATCTTGACACACACTCACTGGACAAGAGGTTCCAGAAAACTGGCTGGTGTCACGAAAATGTCCCCACTCGTGCGCCTACGCACCACGCCCCTATCTCAAGCCAAATATCTAGATTTATAAATATGATTGTACCTAATTATAGATCTGTCGTTCGCAGGATTTGGGATAATTCAGACACTGGACATTGATAACAATGAAAACAAACAAGTCTAATTATTATATGTATCAGCCAAAGAATATTTTAAGGATGTTATGTATTTAGAATAAATAAATTTAAAGAAACCTGGGAGCGACAATTTTAAACCACTCCGCATTTTTACACATTTGACTGTCAGGATACTTTTTTAAACAGGGAATAAAACTAAATAGTCACTCTCTTACGAATTAATCTGTTAACGAGGAAGATTGCTGTACCACAAAAATAACTAAAATATATAAAAATAAATAAAATATATGAAAATAAATATTGTAAGTTAATGGTTAAGTGATGCTAGATGCATTTCCGACTTTATATAAATAAGGATTCTAAATTCAATTATATATTTGTTACGAGATATTTACGCCATTTGTAAGTCAAATTTCGTAATTCTTTTTTAATTAATTGGTTATCTGTGGTCCCATTTTAAATAAATTCCACTTTTAAGGTAGAAATGTTTAGATACATTTAAGTGAACGTGAGATGTCTACACTAAAAATGGAAAAATTAAAACTTTAAAAAAAATCGACTTCTAGGCGCTAAAATGTAAGAAATAACTAAACGGTTTTCATTTAGAATAGATACCTAATCAGATATTTTCGAAGTTGGTGCCAGCGGACAATATTTTAAGATGGCATACCTTTTTATTACAAAAAGAAAAGTTTAATTGCTAAAATGTAGTATATAACTTTTATAAAACTATCCTCATCCACAATACCAACATTCCATCCATTCCGTAAGAAATTCAATGAAATGCTTGTATTTTCAATGTGCAGCACAAACACTTTCACACACTTACACTAGTTCTAGAAGACCGCGGAATAAAGAAGCCACAAGAAGAAGAGAAGGATCACGAGGATCATGTAGGTAGCGGCGAGGTTGACGGTCTCGGCGTTGATCGGCATGATTGTTTGGGAGAGAACTGATCATGCACAGGGCCGAATCGGTTAAAGGATACTTCGGGATTTCATGTTTAATCTATACATATAATAAAATTCTAACTAAGTCGAATCTGTACATTAAATATTTTTTTGAAAATCTTATGGAAATAGACATTATTATCGAGGCCGAATCTATAGTTTTTAGAATTTTTGTCTGTCTGTCTGTTACCGCATCACGGAAAAACCACTGGAGGGATTTTGATGAAATTTGGTAACTGGTTATTCCGGGTCAACATATAGGATACTTTTTGTCGCGGGAAAATATCTCATTTCCGAGAAAAAATACAAAAACTGTATTGTAAGAGTATACTAATATGTAAAACTTAAAAGAATGGTTTTTGGTCATCTGAACGCGGGCGGAGCCGCGGGCAATGCTAGTTTAAAATATAGAAAGTAAGAGACTTTAGTTTTAACTTCGGCTTTCATTATTGTATGCGTATTTTAATTAATGTAAATGTATTTTAGATATAGTTTGCATAGGCAAAATGGAAGAAATTATTAATATAAATTGTTGCCATCACTCGCTGGACATCGAACTTAGTTCAATAAGGAATAAGATAAATTGTGAAAAGAAACTCAAAAGCGCCTCATTAGGTCTGGATGTCTTAACCAATTATAATAAATACATAACGTCCCTCTGTCTGTCTATTCATTTGCTTTTGTACTATAAATCACATTTTTAGAACACTTAGAAAATAAACAAAAAAAATACATCTATATATACCTATTTAATAAATAAATATATTATAAAAATAAAATACCCGACTGCATAAAAGCTAATTAAAAAGATGAAAACAAGTTGACGAAGGAATACTATAAAGAACCCCCCCAACGTGCGTTCACCTTGTCGTGGTGGGGGGGCTCAGTAGTAGTAGCGAAGCTAAGAAACGCACAGGGAGGTTGCCCACTTCGGTGGGCGGTGGGAGGTGGCCTTCTTCGGGGGCGGTATACCATGCGGGTTGCTCCTGGTTCTTCTCTGATAGCAGAGTGGACCTTGGAGCAACCCCATGGTTGTGTTGGTCTGCTTTGGCAGACCTGCCGTCGGGGCGTCGTAGTTGAATGCATAAGCGATCCTGCGACGCCCCATTAAGACGGGGGAAGGTTTTGTTGGGTTTTAGTGGGTAGTACTGGCTGTATTACGCCGGTGAGTCCCACACGTCGTGCGTAAATGCATTTCCCAACGTTAAAAAAAAAAAAAAGGAATACAATAAAGAACATACACGTATTTATATTTTATTTCATTTGCCGCGAGATGTAAATACTCGTATGTATGTTTCCGACTGCATAATACTATATTCCTTCGTGAACTTGTTTTCATATTTTAGTTAGCTTTTATGCAGTCGGGTGTTTTTATGTTTATAATATATTTATTTATTTACAGCTTTTTAAGTTTTTTCAAGTAGGAAAATTAGCGAGAATGATCGAAGTCGGTGCCAGCCAACGCATAGGAAATCTAATATATTTTGATACGTTAAATACATATTTACCTATTAGATATTCACATCTTAAAATATTGTCCGCTGGCACCAACTTCGAAAATATCTGATTAGGTATCTATTCTAAATGAAAACCCCCGTTTAGTTATTTTTTATATTTTAGTGCCTGGAAGTCGCTTTTGTTAAGTATTTATTTTTATATTATTAGTGTAGACGTAATAAGCAGGTAATTTGTAGGAAGAAACTTTTTAATAACATATTCGATTAAACAATTTGTTTAAAAAATATATTTATTGTTGATTTCTTTAAAAATCGCTCAACCAATTTTGATAAAATTTATATGGGACCATCTGGGAAGTGTACCCTTTCGAACAAAACAAAAATTTTCCAAATCGGTTCAGGCGTCTTCGAGTAATCGGTGAACATACATAAAAAAAAAAGATTCCGACGCATTGAGAATTTAGTTTTTGGTCGTCTGAACGCGGGCGGAGACGCGGGCAATGCTAGTTTTTTATAAAATTTTAAATCGAAAACTATGATTCAAATCTAATATATAAAATTTCCATGTCACAATGTTTGTTACCGTGCTCCTCCGAAACGGCTTTACCGATTTTTACCAAATTTTATATGCGTATTCAATAGGTCTGAGAATCGGCTACTATCTATTTTCCATACCCCTAAGTGATAAGGATAAGGGTGGGTGGTTCTCCCAGACCCCAACCCAGGGACGAACCCGAGCGGAGCGAGGGTGAGTCGCTAGTATATATATAAATACAAATAATATAACATTTTCCCAGGAAGAATGAAATTGACTCGGAGTAAGTGGAGTTAATGGTAAGTAGTAGGTAACAGTAGAGTGGTTAGATTTTTACAAGTTCGAGGGTAATCTTCAGATCCAATTTCGATTAAGTTACAACATAGCTACAATAATTTATTTGTGGTGCGTACATATATAACTTTGTTAAGGAACTAAGAATAAGTACAATTGAATAAATAAAATTAGAAAGATATGAAATAATTATATAGTAACGAATACGCATTTCAAATGATACGCCACGCCAAGGTAATGCAATATTACGAAAATATACAACCCAGTCAGATTTATAAATATGACGTGTGTCCAGTTTATAAAATGAACGCATCTAAATATTGAGCATAAGTTATTAAAAAAAAAGAATTAAATTAATTTTCACAAAACAAAAAACACAATTTTTCACTTACGGCTATTTAAAATGCTGAGTATAGCAGCCACAACGCGATTAGTAGCATTAGAAGAATGCAGTAGGTGGCTACCAAGTTTGTTCCTTCTGAGCTGGAGATCATTTTGAACCTTCGACTAACGCGTTCCGAATGAAACTAAACGAATAAAACGGGAACAAAGAACGCTGTAAACATTTGGAAAATATAAGAAATTCTTATTTTTTGGCATCGGTCTAAGATTAATTATTTGTCATGGAGGCATCTGCGGGAGTGTCCCAATAGTTTTTTTTTGTTTATACTGTTGTTTTCACCGAATCTGTGTGCCAAGTCGTTGCCTCCGCCTTAGTTGGCGTCACCGGTTATTTAAAGATATTATTAAAATGTCAATCATGTCAGTCAATAAAACATAATATGAATGGATTCAAACTTATAAATGAAATATGTTTCATTCATATGAACTGTAACCATTTTCCTGAATATGTGCTTAAGTAAAAGTTTATTTTATCGAAATTTTTAAGAAAGTTTTATTTTATCGACGCAAAAATTGGGTTAAAAATGAAAATAAAACTTTAAATAATTTAGGAAGTCAATAAAAATCGCTTATTTCCAGTAATTACGCGCAATTTAAGTCCGGCCCTGTTCTGTTCAATTCTGGAGAGAATGATAAGCCACGCTATATTTGCAGCACTGAAGCATCGGGCGCCGAATTTTTAACATCAATCCTCTACCATATGGAGATATTTAAACGCTTTTATTTCCATTGTTTCATTGTAAAACGGTAAATCTTGTAGGATTGATAGCTATGGAGACTTGGATATTCCATAAAAACATTCAAAATAAACTAAATTATTTCAGGCCCAATTAAACTAGTTAAATTAAATAGTGCATTATCCTCAAAGAGTAGGTTCATTACATTTTTAGGTAAAAGCAGTTTTAATATAACATTCGATACAGTTAAGGATCTAGAACTTATACCTTATACATTTATGTCGTGAAAATATAAATGTTTTTTGACGTTACACTGTAGGTTTAATCAAATTCAAATTTAAAATATTTTATTCAGCATTAAGTTATTACAATTTTTTACTGAACGTCTTGAGTCTACTACCAGTTCGGAAAGAAGAAGCGTCAGACCTGAGAAGAATTGGCGAAAAAAACTCAGCGGGACTAATATTAACTTATCTTTTTTTTAAAGTAAAATTCTAATTTACAATCTTTCTATCAAGTTGAAGTAGCCTGGAGGCGATCATTTCATTCCCAAGGTGTGCCATCTTCTATAAAATCATTTACTGTATAAATAGCCTTTAACACACAAACGTTCTTTAACCATTTTTTTTTTAATTTGGCGATTGAAGCCTTTTGAACATTTTCTGGGATCCTGTTGCACAAGCGTATACATTGTCCATAAAATGAATTACTGACTCTGTGTAGACGAGTCACAGGCATTACAAGTTTGTGTTTGTTGATCCAGTCATCGAATCCATTTGTGTGCTGTTACTTTATTACTTTGTTATTGGTATACTGTATAATAAAGGATATAATCAAAATAAACTTTTGTTCCTTCTTCTTCTTATCATTTATTCTTTAAATAAAAAAAGTTCAATTCTTAGATTATTGACATATAAGTAAATAATCTAAGGTAAAATCATATGTACATACATACCAACGTAAATTAACACTAACACCAACAGTAAAAAAAAAAATTCTTACTGCTGTATTAACATATCTATATATTTATAAATAAAAACGAATCACCGAAATGTATGTTCACGCACAACTTCCGATCGACTGCACCGAATTGGATAATTCTTTTTTTTTGTGTTTTTTATTGTCAGGACAATTTTTGTATAGAAGGTTTTTTTTATAAAATAAGATTTTTTTAATGTCATGATATGAAAAGTGAGTGAGTAAAATAGTTTTAATCCCGGAGATTATCCCTTAATGGGGTGAGAATGGGGATGAAACTTTGTATGGAGGAGCAAGATAGGGACGAACTAAGCGAGGGTGAGTCGCTAATAATAATTAAAAATGTAGGCTTAATTAGCTAGTCTAATTATATTGTTTTTTTTTCTGTTCAGTGTATAATTAAATATGACCCAAATAAAACTCATTTCAGCTTTGTGATGTGCTGATTTTGAAGACAACATTTTTCGACGCGGAGATAAAAAATGGTCAAGTGCGAATGAAATGTGCGTTACGAGCTTACATTAGGTTTAAATAGCAGCGTTTTACCTACCAATAAAACGCATATTAATTTACTTACCTTATTCGAAGCTTACGTATTGAGATAGGCATTACCGTTTCCGCCGTTTATATATCTATCCTTGTCTATCCGTCTACTGTCTCGCTCTCT